CGAGCCTCTGGGGCCCGAGTCCGGAGGGCCGGCGACACCCGGAGCCAGGCTCGGGGCGATGTCCGGAGCCCCGGGTCCCCGCGCGCCCGCCACACCCTCCCCGCGCGGGTCGGCCGGGCCCGGGCCTCTCCCCGCGGAGCCCGGCCCTCGGGGCTCCTCGCCCGCCCGGGGACGCGCCGCCTTCCGGCCCGGCCGCGGAGACACTCACCCGCTCCGCGCGGCCGCCGCTCCGTCCTCTCCGGCCGCTCTGGGCCGCTCACGCCGCCGGGGGAGGCGCCGGCCCCGCGGCCCCCGCCCGGCCGCCTGCACCCCGCGGCTCCGCGCGCCCCCGCCGCCGCCAGCCGGCCCCGCGCGAGCGGCCGGGCCGCGGCGGGCATGCTCCGGGCCGTCGGCGGGGGCGGGCGGCGGGCGCACGTGCGGCGGCCGGGGTCTGCGCGCTCGCGGCGGGCGGCTGGACAGCTCTACGCGCGGCCGCCGCTCCTCGCGCGCCCCAGCGGCCGCTGCTGCCCGAGCGCGCCCGGCCCGCCGCGCATTCCCTCACCCGGCGGCGGCGCTGCGCCTCCGTGAGGCGGCGCGGGGAGCGGCGGCGGGGCCGGGCGAGGGCCGCCTCCGCCGGAAGGACCGGGCCGCGTGGGCTCCCGCGCTGGCCGAGCCGGCCACTGCCCGCGTCCCCGCTCCCTGGGCCGCCCGTTCCCTGGGGCCGGGGCTCGCCGCCGCGCGGGGACGCCTCGGAGCGCAGGACCCAGACCTCTTTCTCCTTCGAGTCTGTCGGGGACTCGCCAAGTGCCCTCGGGAGCAGCAGACCCGCGGGAGTTGTCACTCTCACGTAGCTTTAAAAAAAAAAATGGAGTTTCACAGGAGCGCGACCACAAATCCGGGGGAACTAACTGCCCGAGACCGCACGCGGTACGGGCGCCGCGGCGCGCGCGCGAGGCTGCAGCCCTAGACCCCGGGCTCGCAGAGACGCGCCGCCGGCGAGCGCTGGGCCCAAGAGCAGCGCGGGTCCCCGAGGCCGGAGGGTGAGCGCCGGGCTCAGTCCCCGCGCTCAGGAAGGGTCCGGGCGAGGATCAGAAACGGCGTCGTCTTCAGTCTCCGTCCCGGTCGGATTCTCCAACTGGAAAGCTAGGCGACCAGGAGGGCACTGGGTGGAACGTGAAAGAAGGCAGAGGAGTATGGAGGCTGAGCCAGAACGCACTTGGTGGCCAAGCGCTGAAGCAGTGGCATTATTCAGCCCGGGCACAGCTAAACCCAGTAGCACTTTACGTGTCGCTAAGTACCACCACGCGTGGCGGAGACGGCAGGGGTAAGGGCAGGCCAGCAGGCCAGGAGGGGTTCCAGTGAAGCCCGGGCGGGGCAGACCTGCCAAAGGCTCTTCATCTGCTTGGTGACAGGACTGGAGCTGCCTGGTCCAGGAAAAGGCCCCAGGCCACAGCTGGGCCACAGACTCGGTGTGATGGTGATCAGAGAGACGGGGGAAGGTGTCCCGCCACATACTACCCCTCCGCTGCACTCCCCCGGCCACCAGGGGCCAAGAGGGGCCCTAAGACCCACTGGATCTGTCCCAGAGCACACATGCAGCTCTCCAGCCAGGCCCCCTGCCCCAGAGCGCACCCCCCTCCCCCCCAGAGCATCTTTGTAGCTCTTGGCCCAGGGAGGGCTCCCTACTTAACCCAGAGAATTTAACCCATTAAGCCCAGCTTAACCAGTGTGAATCGATACACTGATATCACAAGACAGTTGGTTTTTGTTTTTAATTTATTGAGTGCCTGTTTGCAAGAATGAAGAGCTGGCCCTGCCCTCAGGGGGCTTACAGTTTCACTGCACCAAGGCCTGGTGGGATTTAACCACTGCAGCGAGCGCTGGCGCTGTCTGCCCACTTCAGCCCTGCACGTCTTCCACAGGACTCCTCGCTGTCACAGTGAAACTGTGAGGCCGGCAGACCCGCCTCTGGAGTCCTCCGTGGGTCGGGGCCAGCAGGTGCAGACTTATGGCTTGGTTCCTCGTATTTGAGAGGGTCCATGAAAATAATGTAAACTCACACACCCAAAGGGAAAAGCTTAGTGACACGGGTCCAAAGAACACAGGTGTCCTTTCACATGTTACTAAACCGCCGCACCAGTCCAGGAAGGGCAGGAAGTCACGGCCTGGCGCCTGTGCAACGTCATGGGTTCCGTGGGACCCTACGAATCTCGCAGCCCTACGCCGCTGCTCATTCGGGAGGGGGTGCGCCTTACCGCCGACCCCTGTGGAGCTCTGGGCGGGGGCGGCGTTTTAAAGCTTTTTGGGCTCTCAGCACGTTACACGTTACAGTTCAGTGGACACTGCTTTTGAAAATAAAGAAAATGTCCAATCTTCCTACCTGTGTATTAGTGCAGAGTTCAGAATCCCAACAACACTCAGCAAGGCACCTGGCTTTTCTAAGTTAAAAGGGGGAACATGTTTTGGCTGGTTCCAAACTATAAAAACAAATTGTAAGTGCGTCCACCCGATGCCTGGTAGGGGCACTTCCCTGGCGCGGCCCCAACTCCCAGATGTCACCTCGAGCCATGGAGTCACGGAATACTTGGAGGATGACGATCTTCTTCACATTGGCAATATTTTTCAAGAGAACACCCTGTACTTACATCAAATAGGCCTGAAATCACCAAAGATCAAGTGCCTTCTTTGACCTTACACTCAACAGTTATCACATTTTTATTAGTCATTTTTAAAAAACAAACAACTGACACAGAGAGGCAGCTTATGTAAACTCGAAGGAAGCTTACTTTTTTGGCAAAGGGGTGGAGAGAGCATCTCAGACCACTAATGGAGTTGCCCACCCATCCAGAGCGTTTCTGAAGTCCATTGTTTAGGAGACAATCTACTTTTCTGTTTTGAAAAGTACCGGAGAGTTACTTCCAAAGCCGATTTAACTCAGGAGGCTGAGATGTGCTGTTTACTGAGCAGTTGAGCACCGGACACTTCACATAAGCCTCCCTGAATGGGAGCTCCCCGCTGTCACTCACGGCTGAGCAAGGCAGGTGTGGGCCCGGCCGGACCGGGCCTGCCAGGCTGGCCTGTCCCCTGCTGCCCAGCCCTGCGCAGTAGGGGAGCCTTTGTTTTAGGCTGTAACTCGGGGCTCCTGAAGGACATCCTCCCACTGTGGCGGGCTTGTAAGGGGAAAGGGGACAAGCAGGAGTAAGGAGAGTTAACTGCTCACATTGAAAAAGGCACTGCACTTAGGGTTTTAAAGTGCGGCTCGGCCCGGGCCTGGGACAAAAATAGTTTATCTCCCTGGGACAGTGGCTGCTTTTTAAGGTCACCGCCTTGCCTGCTTCAGGTAGAATGGCTCTGAAGCAAAGTGTTTGTCAAGTTCAACATCACTGAAGGGAAAGATGGCAGATTTTCTTTGGTTTCCCTCTTCACAAAGAAAAAAGTGATTGATAACTTTCAGTCTATTACACACTTCAGAAACGAAAGCATACGTTTCCTAAGAGAGGCAGAGATGCTTTGATGGGGCTTAACACCGTTCCTGGAATAATAAGCTAAATAGACTAAGGAGACAGCTCCTTGACAAGTTAAAATGATCATCTTTCTGAAACAGCCATTTCTTTCTCCTAACGAGTGTAGTAGGCTTCACAGTAACAGGGAGGAACAAGGAAGCAGCCTACCAAGTCCTGGGGTGCCTGCTGCGGTCACACAGAGCCACACCCTGCAGTGAGGGTCACCAGGGCCGGCGACCCCCAACCAGCGCTCCAGACAGGCTGTGCTCGAGGTCCCTACAACTGGGGGACCGGGAAAGCGCCCACGGTGAAGGCGCTGGACTCTGCGGACGAGCAGGTCCGAGAAGCCGCCATCTGGACCTGGCGGCAGGAGTGGGTGCGTAGACAACATGGTGTCCCTGCTCGGGGGACCCCCACCCCGCAGCGGGGGGGCGCTGACTTGTTGCACTGCAGTCCCTTCCACACATGCGTACGTCCTCACCCAGTGTCCTCCTGGCACCCACTACGGGAGTTTTCCTTTTTGGCAAGGATGGGGCGGTGGAAAGGGGTCAGATGTCTTCGTGGGGACTGGTGCCGAGGGGACTGGGCTCCTCTCACAGCCTCCTGGGGGACGGCCATGTCATCGAGGCTCTAGCCACCCACTGGCGAGCACGCGAGCACGCGGCGACTCGGGGCCCGGTGCCGTTTGGAGAGGCGGGCAGAAAACTGTGGCCTCCCCGCTCCACTGCCCCTGAAAAGCACTGGGTGTAATGAAATGAGAAAATTACCTCTCTCATTTTTCCTCCTTACAAATAATAAGGTTTAGGGGAAAGGAAATGAGTTAGTTATCCATGCAGTTTTCAAAGCTTCCCAGTGTCCCCTCATTTCAATATCGCCATCACCGTTGTCCACGGTTCACTCTGCGACACACGGTTCACACGGGAACTGCATTATCATTTTTAAAAAGCTCAAAACTAGAATCCAGGGTGTGCTCGAAGGTTCTTCTCATTCGGCACGTACTATCTACATTGCAGAAGCTGTTCTGAAGCCTTTATTTTTTAAAAAGAATCATATTCACAATGTGGAACAAATTTTACAAAATTGGTGTGCAAAGTTCATTGTAAAAGGGTAACACTCTGTTTACAGACAAGCTGCCTCCCTGATCACATTTCCTTATTCTTCATATAAACTGGAGACACATACTATTTAAAAATAATACTTTTTAAATAGTAAAATATTCAAGAGATTCCTGAGAGTAACAAAAATATCTTGAAAATATGTGGCTGTTTGTAGTATAAAACAGCAGCGTAAAGAGGAGCATGATTGTGAAACTAGAGTTTGAAGGCCTGTGAACAGTGCAGAAGAGTCTGCCTTTTCCTAGTGCATAATTGTGTGTTAGTGCAAACAAAACAGAACCCAGCGGCGCCGGCCTCAGGGGTGTGCGGACGTGCGCAGGACGCGGAACTTCTTCAGTGTCATGCGGACGGAGCCCAGTTCGCGGTTGACCCTCTCCAGACGGTCTTCCAGGGCCTCCTAGGCAGAAATAATGGGAACAACTGCATTAGGATTCTATGTCAAGGTCACCAGTGCCAGAATCACCACCAAGCTGGCCTCTCTTTTAGCAAAAGGACAATATAAACACAGAAATCGAACACTGTGCATTTTACACAAACCATCTGCATGTTATTCCTTTTAAACTGATCAATGTGAGTCAGCTCTTCAAGTTCACTCTGGAGAACTTGGGCACTTGGGACGTCCTCAGCACGTCGAGAATGCGGAAATTTCTGCCCGCAGCACGGCCCACAGCGGGAGCTCTGACTGCGCGGGGCTGAGAAAGCACGGTGGGGCTGAGAAGGCACAGCAAGGCCGTTGCCGAAGCAGCAGGCATGTCTGACCAGAGCCCCGAGTGCACACACACACCAGAGGGCTTTCTTCTGACAAAAACACCCAAGCCAAAGAGGACGACAACCTCTGGAGGAGGCTTTTCCCAGGAACAGAGGTTTCAAGAGTCAACCTAATGACCGTGGTTTCACATACACAGCACCTGGACTATATATGAGGGGCCACCCCCAAATCCCCGGCGTTATCTTCTGGGGGCGGGCCCTTGCAGCCCAGGCCTCCCCCGCAGGGTGCTCCAGGAGCCCGTCTGCATCACCGCGCCACTGAGCCATCGTTGTGTTCGGCCGCAGCGAATTTTTTTGAAGATTCTTTCAGCACGATCTTCCACTTCACGGTGGACGATTTACGCGCGCACCTTGAGTGTTCGGCAGTTTCGACCAGAAACGGCATGACTCCCGGGGCCCGCCCTCCCCATTCGCTCAGCTCGCCCCAGCGAGACTCCTGGAGGAAAGAGTCCTCAGAAGGAAAGGTTTGGCTGACGCGGAAGCGATGAACCACAACGGCAGCAGCACCACAAGGTGTCAACGTGGACGCGTCTGAACAGGGCTGTGCGCAGTGGAGAAACTGTCCCGACAGGGGCGCTGCATGGACGGAGGGGACGCGGATGGTGGGGACGCGGAAGGCGGCTGAAACTGACACGTGTACGAATACACACTCACAATCTCTATGAACACATTCCAGGGTTTTCTGGATCCCCTCATGTGTTTATCATTTTAGATACTTTATTCAGTATTAACTCCAATGGTATCCTGAAATAAAACTTAATTTTTTCTAATAATTTAAATATAAAAGGGCTTGCCCTGGCTGGTGTAGCTCAGTGGACTGAGCATGGGCCTGTGAAGCAAAGGGTCACGGTTTGATTCCCAGTCAGGGCACAGGCCTGGGTTGCAGGCCAGGTCCCCAGCAGGGGACACATGAGAGGCAGCCATACGTTGATGTTTCTCTCCCACTCTTTCTCCTTCCCTTCCCCTCTCTCTAAAAATAAATAAATAAAATATATATATATATATTTTTAAAAGGGCTACATGTTCCTTAGAGAATTTAGCAGAAAAATGATCAAAAAGTAGCTACTGCTCTTCTTTCCTTTTTTCCTGCAGATATGCTTACCATTTTTAAGAAGAAAAATCAAAACAGAATCTAACTCTCTACTTCAAAACAGTTTTCAACTGAACTCTGGCTATGAAATACTTGCCCTGGCTGATGCGGCTCAGTGGGCCGGGCACTGTCCTGTAGACAGAAAGCTCACGGGTTCGCTCCCTGACCGCTGGTCGGGGCACAGGCCTGGGTCTCAGGCCAGGTCCCCGGTTGGAGGCGTGTGAGAAGCAACCCAATGATGCTTCTCTCCCTTTCCTTCTCCCTCCCTGCCCCCTCTCTCTTAAAATACGTAAATAAAATCTTAAGAAAAAAAAAGTATCTTCCTATAGCATTGTTTTCAATTAAGTGCAACAGTCCATCAGAGGTGCCATTTTTAGCCACGAAACTTGCGTAGAGACTCGGGGGCTTCTGGTTTCCTGTGTCACAGACGAGGCTGCAGTGGGCAGTCCTGAGCACGGCTCCGTGCAGGCGTCTGTGGATTCTCAGCACGTGCAGGGCTGTCGGGCTGCGCCCCAGAGCCCCGGCCGCGTGCAGCGTCCACCTGCAGGGCGCGGGGACGTGCCTCCCCCATCCAGGTGCTGCTGGTAAAAGCTCGCCTGCCACCGTTGATGCTTTTGTTTAAATGTGCATTGTTCTTGCACTCACTGCTGAGGCTGCGTATGTTTCATTTTTTTTGCCCAGCTAAACGGTCTCACTTATGAATCATGGGTAAGCGTCCTCGGCCCCTTTTCGCCGCCAGCTTTCTGCCTCCTTCCGGGACTGAACGAGCTGTAGCGGATGCACATGAACACCAACAAGGGCCCTGCAAGTCTTATTTTAAAGTTTATGATCGTCCTATAAAAATATATTAAACAAACGTTTCAGACAGATTTAGAATCAGAGTATCAACAATTTCTTCCTTCTGCTTTCCCAGTAAACTCTTTTAAGGGTTTCATGTGTAGAGTCCCACAAATTATTGAATAAAAACTTTCAGAAAAGCAAAACAATAAAAGGTAGTCACGAAAAAAGAGAAGTTAGGACTGAAGGCCCTAGAAAAAGACCTCTCTCGTTTTGTGTCTTTCCCTCCTTCTGGTATCACAGATCATTCTGGAAACGAACTCTCCTGAAGCTATGGCACTGAGAAGCCTGAGCATGCAGTTACATGAGAGACATACAGTCGCTGTGATGTTTAAAATGTTACAAAAAGAACAGAATTAACATGTCCCAAGGCTTCCCGCATTTAAATGCTCTCTGAAAAGCGGCTAAAAGAAAGATCCACAGGCCATTTCTGCCCCCTCTCCTGCTCAGTCTGGAGTCACACTGTCCCTCTTTAAGGCTAAGCCATTTGCTCCCAAGTTCCTTTCTCAAAAACATAACGGCACAAACACCTTTTCTTAAAATTAAAGGTACAGTCGGCTTTTATTCCTGGAAGCTAGCGTGCAGGTATGAAACATGCTATGATCAGCAAACACGTCCTACGGGGATGCACGGTCCTGACCGGCTGCTTCAGCGCAGTTTCAGAAAACCGACTCAGGGCACCGGGGCACCGACTGGGCCTCCGGAGGAGGGAGGTTCAAGCTGAGACACTTCACCTGGTTTAACCTCGTCTGCAAAGTGACTCGTCCTCCAGCGGAAGGCATGCGACTCAGGGCCGCCTCGATCTGTCAACACAAAAACAGTTCCAGTGAAGAGGGAGGAGCCCGCCCGCTGGCAGGCAGGGAGGCGTACGACAGAACGGGGGCGAAGCCTTCAGCCCCCGTGGTCCCCTCCGCCCCGTCTCCGCATGAACCGCTCTGGCACAACCAGCCAGGATGGCTCGGGCTCACGGCCACTCTGGCGTGAGATTCACAGCCGCTTCCTGGGCGGGCGTGACTCACTCACTCACTCCCTTCTCCCTGTTCCTTAGGCACAAGTGTGAAGTTCAGAAAAAAAGTTTGATTTTTTTGTTATTTTTACCTGGTCTTTTTCTTTTGTAAGTTCATCAAAAAACCGCTCCGTTTCCGCCAGGGTCCTGATTTTTGCAGTGTACTCGAAGTCCGGGGCGTGCGCCACGCAGCTGCTGGGCTCGCCCTTCCCGCAGGCTGCCCTCCCTGCGGCGGCCTGCGCAGCGTCCGGCACCGGCTCCGGGGAGCAGTCACGGTGAGCAAGGGTGTCGCCGGCTTTTTCTGAATGTTCTTTTTCTGTCAGAAAAGAAATTTCTCTTATTCCTTATTGGGTTTCCTGACGGCTCCTGTACATCCCAAACAAGTTAACTCCACTCTGAGGTCACAGCTGCCACAGGGCCGGCCACACAGTGGAGAGAGGCACGGAATCGGAGAGACTTTCTATCAACTTCAGTGAACTTGTCATAAACTTAGGGCAAAAAAAAGTTTGAAAACTCAACAGAACATTCACACCAACACTGAAGAGTCAACATTTTCAGGGGTCTACCCACATGATTTCATTTCAGCATCTTACAACTTTATTTCAAACTTTAAAAAAAAAACTTTATTTCAAACTTAAAAAAAAAAAATTGCCCAAAGCCTGAGTGTGAAAATCAGAGAACACAAAGAGAAAAAGTGAGCAGCATGGCCTGGTCACAAAACACAAAGGTTCCCTGTTGCCGCCCGCAGGTCCCGACCCTCACAGAGGGTCACGACAGGGACACGGCGTGAGCACGGGGATGCTTATTTCTAGAGGCCCCTGGGGACCAAAACAGCAAGTACAGGTATTACAACATGTAGAACCTTGAGAGGAGACCGGAAACCCACGAAAGGAACGGCTCAAACCCAACCCCGCCGCTGCCGAGGACATGCTACCTTCCACGTCAGCTAGAGGGAGAAACCGGAGCTGTCTTCTCGAGGCGCTGCGCGGCGGTGCGGATGCAGGAACAGAATCTAAATCATCCAAAAGTACATCAAATCTAGTGAATGAAGCAAGTTACTCGTGAGAAAAACCGACCACTGATCTTTCCTATCACTGCTAGAAAGATGAGCTGGCATCTGGGCAACTCACACATGGACACAGCTTTTTAAAAAGAAAGCCGGTCACATAATTTTCTAAAAACTGAAATTTAGTGTATGTTTTCTTTTGAAGATTTTTATTTATTTATTTATCCTTAGAGGGGAAGGGAAGGAGAGAGGGAGAGAAACATCAATGTGTGGTTGCCTCTCCTGCATCCCCTACTGGGAACTGGCCTGCAACCCAGGCATGTGCCCCCACTTGGAATCGAACGGCGATTCTCTGATTCGCAGGCCCACGCTCAATCCACTGAGCTACGCCAGCCAGGGCTGTTTTCTTTTCTTTTAAATTTATTTTTTGAGATGGAGGAAGGGAGGGAGGAAGAAAGGGAGAGAAACGCTGATCGGTCGCCTGCCACGCACCCCCAACCAGGGACCTGGCCCACAGCCCAGGGATGTGCCTTGACCGAGAATCAAACCTGCAACCTTTCAGTTTGCGGTTCCAGCGCCCAGCCCACTGAGCCACACCAGCCAGGGCTGGTGTGTGTTTTCTAATATTAAAGCATAGCTCTGCACCGGAGACATTCGGCGTTCGCCCACGTGATATCTCGTTTAAACTTCACAACCACCTAAGGAGTCAGCAGGGCAGGTCCTCTTGTCCCGTTCGTTTTACAGGAGAGGAAGCTGAGGCCCACTGAGCTGGAGGCATTTCTTCAGACCCATGCGGCTGGGCCGGCCAGAGTCGGGGGTCGTCCCCCCGCCCTGGCCCCAGGCTCACACTGCGGACCCCGCATCGGGGAGGACCCGTCTCTCAGGAGCCGAGGTGCACCTGATGTGCAGCACAGGCCACACTAGGCCCGCCTGTCACGGTCTTGCACCTGACGTGCAGCACAGGCCACACTAGGCCCGCCTGTCACGGTCTTACACGAATGGCTCGGAAACGTCCCATACCAGAAACCTCTTCAGAAAAACAAAGATTTATCGTTCTACATCCAAAAGCCAGGAGGGAGGGGTTCTAAGATGACATTTAAATTTAGTGGTAGCCAGTTTACAGTCACCAACTGTTTTCATGTATTACAGCATTTTCAATTTTTAGTATGACATTCATTGATGTGATTTCCACCCAGAGAGTTCCCATTAACTGAAAAATTAATGACAGCTAGAGGCATAAGTTGACTCTTTTAAAACATCAGTGACACACATCTTTCATCCTGCAGTTTTAGAGAACTTACCGAATCGGACTGCTCTCAGCTTTGCTGAGGAGATGGCTAAACCCCGGGGACAGGTTTTCTTTAGGGGACCGCTTGGGACTGTAGGCCACGGTCACTGGTGCCAGCATGATCTCCCGTTTGGCTGTGGGGGAAACAGAGAGTCTCTCCCTTCTGTGCCACCCACCTGGGACGCTGGCACAGCAGACACCTCCCTTTTCAGTACCTTTGCCCTAACTTTCAAAGAGATAGAACTTCACTGTGAGACTTTTTGAAAGACAAGAGAATAAAAATAAAAATAATTCATAACCCTCGCATCGGGAGGGCACCACTGCCGGCAGTTAACTTCAGCGCTTGGACTCAAAACTGGTTTTTCAGGATTTTAGAAGTCGACTTTAGAAGTCGACCGGAAATAAGATGGAGATGCCAGAGCCCTGGCGACCTTCCCTGGGACAGTCATGCGGGCGTCCCTCAGCTGCTAGGAAACTGAGGACATAAAAATCCACTGTTTAAACTCTAAAACCACACCCGCTGTCGACTAAGGAGAAGGCACTTCTGCCGAGGGACGGTGGGGGACACCTGGGAAGACGCTGTCTCTGCAGGCCGTTTCCGTGGGCGGTCGTTTGCGGCTGGGACGGGTCTCCGCACTGGCCCCGCCCCCCGAGAAGCAGGACAGGCAGCTGTGCACTGTGTCAGAAACTGCAGTGGTGTTAGTGCAGAGACGTGCTGGACACACGCAGCCTCACTTGACATACTGGCCGTGTTTTCAGTCACAGGCATCTGGTCAGTCAGACGGCGTTTGTCTTGAATGAGGTCTCACAGAGGGACCCTGCACCCAGAGCACGCCCCAGGGTGCGCGGAGGGCACCAAGGGGACGGGAAGTGCCCGTGTGCGAGCACGTGTGCGGGGCTGGGTGGGCCCCTCGCGCCTGCCGGGAGACATGACCTCTGACTTACTTGGAGCACTTGACTTTCGAGTTGATGGCGGCAGTGACGACGACCTCTGAGCGGTGGAAGCGGCTCGCTTTGGCCTTTGTTGGGCACACTTCTCTGGGGACCGACTGGTACCAACAGACACTTCGGTTTGCTGAGGATTCACTAATTCTGTGCGACAAGTGTAAAAAAAGAAGCATCAAACAAGACAGACCCCGCAGCGGTCACCTGCCTTTTCAAACAAGACAGACCCCGCAGCGGTCACCTGCCTCTATGAACAGAGGGCTGCACAACAAGCAACCTCTCATGGTGCAGGTCCCATGGTGCCGGTCGTGGTGACCTGCTGCAGAAGCACCCGGCACGGATGAAAAAGCCCGCGGAAGAAAGGTGTGGGGGTTTACAATGCATCCGTTCCGGTTCCCTGTTTACACTGGCATTCAGGCTGACTTTTAAAGAGTTTATTTTTAGAGAGCAGGTCACTAATTTATTTACTACGAGATGGAGCCTTGGATGTCACAGCAAAAAGGCTCCTGCGTGATTCACAGGCGGGACCATGTGGGCAGAGAGGAAGCTCGAGGAGCGGCGGGAGGCTCGCCCCGGGAAGCAGCGGCAGGTCCGAGGTGCTCTTGTCTGGCCACCGGTGCTCAGGGGCCTGGACAGGGGATGGCGGGGGGGGGGGGTGTCCCCTCCCACCTTATGGAAGCCAGGTGTCTGTCACAGCTTTTCGATGTAAAACAAACGGACGTAGAAATTTTCCAAACAGCCTTAAGAATGCCACAGAAATCTTTACTAACCAGAATTAACACATAATCTGCTTTTGTAAAAGGTGCAAGTTATGCAATGGTCATCGTAAACGCTTCACTAGGGGAGGGAACTTAAGCATCTATGAAATGGGGCTGGAGCCACAGTAAAATAAACCAACCTTCTCATTTCACTACTTGGGGATCCCCCCGAAAGAAGGCAATGTCCTTAGGGAGCAGGGAACACACCTACCCGTCTACAGTCCTCACATCTGTATCACAGAGGGAATAAAACACTTACTGTGGGAAGTGTCCTCTCTCTCTGTCTGCGTGCCCCAGTTTTTAAATACTTTTTCTTCACTGAGTTCTTTCAAAGCTCTCATGATCGGTGTGTCTGTGGTCTCCCTTTGCTTTTTTAAAAGTAAGTTTGCCGACGAACTTCCGGGTGAAGGACCCTTTTCCGGAGGCGAGTGGCACCTACAACGGTCGAGAGACAGCGGTGCTGCAGAGTGGACACCTGCGCCCCTCACCCGGCAGCGCCCCAGTCCTCAGGGTGGCATGTTTCAAGGTGGGGTCTTAGGGAGCCGATTAAGTTAGAGGACGACAAGAGGGCAGAGCCGCAGGAAGGAGTTGCGCCCCAGTGAACAGGAAGAGACCAGCTCTCTCTCTCCCTGACCCCTCGCTTCCCTCTCTCTCAGCAACAAGGAAAGGCCAAGTGAGGACACAGCCAGGCGGAGCCCCTCCCCGAGGTCACCCGTGCCGCACCTGATCCCGGACCCCCTGCCCCCAGCACTATAGCACAGATGTCGAGGTTGGAGTGCCCAGTCTGCAGTGATCTGTCCCAGTGGCCCGAGTCAGACACACGTGTGCTTGGACCGTCGGAAGGTCACGGGAGTGTCGGCTGCCCTCCACGGCGAGCACGTGTGCTTCACAGTGTAAACTGAACGCAGCCTGCGTGCACCAGCCCAGGCTTTCCGTCCCTCTGCCTCCCCAGCACCTAAGAAATATTCCATTACGATGGCGCGCTGGGCTATCGGGGTGCAATGCCCAAAAATGAAAACCGGGCCCTTAAACCGAAGACGTTAAGGACACAAGGAGGTGGCTCTCTGTGTCCTCCTGAAGGCCCAGGGCAGCGGGGGTCTCCAGGAAAGGCAGCCTCCCGGAAGCAGGACCTTCGACAGTGACCTTACCCAAGAGCACAGACGTCCTCCCACTGGCTGGCTGCTGTCCTGTCCTGGACGTCCAGGGGCTGGCCCGTGAAGATGGAATACTCCGCCCCTGGAATCAGCCACTTCCGCCTGCTGACATCTGAGGTGGCCAGTGTGCTGTGAAGGGGGGTGTGCGGGCATTAGGAGGCCTGTGCCGCCACCTGAAGGGGCACAGCCGGGAGACCGCCCGTTCTGCAGAGGACTCGTCCACTCGCACAGACACTGGGAACACACACGCAGCCGCCGCACGCGACACGTGCGGGCTCTGCCCCGTGGGGTGAGGGTTGCACTGCGCTAGCACCGCAGCTTCCGGCCCCTGGGGCCAGTCCCACCCTCAGCCTCGATCCAGGGCCTACACCCCGCCCAGTGTGAGCCGCGCGGCAACCTTTCGGCCCCATCCACCAGAGGGCTGTGAACACTCTAGAAAGGCAGACGCGCCGGAAGCTGGGGCTGCAGCCTGAGACCTTGCCCTGACCCCCAGAGCAGCTCCCTAACCACCGCTGGTTTCCACTCGAAGTCCAAGTGACCCGCAAACTGAAGTGCCCAGGACGGAGCTTCTGAACCTTACCACCGCCCCCAGTGGCTCTTCCCATCTCTCCCTAGTGGGCCCGCGGCACCCTCGCCCACTCCAGGAAGAAACAAAGGACATCCCCAAAACCTTTCCGACCCTACTGCCCCGTCCTGGGGTTTCTGCCCCCAGAATCCCTCGCAAACGCTTCTCTTCTGCTCTGTTTCATGGCCACTGGCAGCTACCACTCTCCCCCGAGCTCTGCCACCACCTACCTGGTCTCCCTGCTTGTACTGACGGCAGGTACATTAAACCCAGAAATCAGATGGCACAAATTTACTTCAGAAAGCCCTCCAAAAGCTTCCAATAGACTCAGAGTAGACGCCAAAGCCTTGACCGTGGCTCAGAGACCGCCACGCACTGTGGGCCTGTGCTTCTGTCCAGGGTGACAGCACTGGCTGGGAACACTCAGGCCACGCCATCCTCCACGCGGTTCTCCCGTGTGGCGAGCTCTGTCCTGCCTCGGCACTGAGCAGGGCCAGCCTCTCTGCGGGGAGCCACCCCCCGCACGGCAGCAGCTCCACACATGCTCTCCTCTCTGTGGCCAGACCCTCCCCAGAAAGGCCCTCCCCGACAGCAACGCTCTAGTTCAGCGACTGACATATTTTTTTTCTTTAAATAACTCACTATGTTGCCCTGGCTGCTGTGGCTCAGTGGACTGCAAACCAAGGGGTCACCGGGTTGGATCCCCAGGCAGGGCAGTTGCCAGGTCCCCTGGTGGGGGTGTGTGAGAGACAACCAATCAATGTTCTGGGCTAAAAGACCTGTTACCCTGTTTCAGCCCAATGTCTTCATTTTTACACATAATAAAACTGAGCTCCAAAACAAGTGAAGTGATTTGCCTACAGTCACAGAGCTGGGCAGAGTCGGACAGTAAAAACACCGGGATCTGCTTACTGATCCCACCAACTCCTCCTTCCGGCAAATGCCTTTGCTTAAGGGCTTTCTCGGTATCTGACAATCAGATGTCTTACACATCTAAATTCTACCATGACATCAACCCGGACTGTCGTGTGACTGCGACGGAGGAGCTGCTGAGCTGCAGGAAAGGGTGCATCTCGCTCTAGCCGCAGAGGCCACACAGAGCACTCACTTGGCACGTGAGGGCCTGCCGGGGGCTCTGGGGTGACGGAGACGTAGTGTGTTTTCATGCTCGAATTGCTTCACCTGGGCTTCAAGCTTTGAAATCGTCCTAATTCAAAAGCAGTAAGATAAATTTCAGTACATTTCAACAAATCTAAAATACAGTTCGACTACAAATTACTTATGTAACAGGCCCTTCTAGAAAAGAGGAGACAAAGGAGCTGCAAGTCCATAGCCCTGTTCACTGCAAAAGCCCCCCCATTAACCTTGCGGAGCTGGGCAAAGGCAGGGACAGGGAACAGAGGGGCGCCCCACACCCCGCCGCTGCAGAACAGGGGTGAAATAAACAGACTTCAAGTCGCAAGTAAAAAAGTTATAAATGTGACTACAGATCAAAACATACAACATATAAATTAAATATAAGATAAATTCAAGTACTCAAGTAAACTGCAATTGTAACACATTTCACTCTAATGCGTATACATTCATGCACACGAAACATACAGGGTCCGGTCCGGCAGAAGAAACACCTGTGTGTGGCTGGTAGCGTAATAATATAGTCGTAATAATTTATAGTTTTAATTTGAACACCTCACCTAAAATGTCACAGGGTACACTTGAGTGTGATACTGTTGCGTTATAGAATCGCATGCTTATGATTTTGTAATAAAAGACTGTGAGAAAAGGGGGCGTTATTTGTGCCAGCCCCGGGTGTAGGTGACACTTTCCCAGCAGAGGAAGCGGGCTGAACCCCCTCCCGTAGCAGTGCCGTTAAAAGACGCTCCCAACGCGCCAGCTGCGAGACCAGTGGCCCACACTCCTCAGCCTCACGGCCGCCCCTCGGCTTCGCAGCCGCTCCTCGCGCCCACACCATGCTCAGGGTTCAAGGCCTGTTTCTGAGTCTCCCACGGGAAGTAAGTACCGCGGCCAGCTGACTGTTGTAAGTTCATCTTGCGCACTTCCTGTCCTTTTAAACTTTGCATGTGTCTCCCGCTTGTCTGTTAAACTCAACTTCTTACCCGCCCCACTGCGAGGGGCTGAAGGACAGCTCCAGCAGCCTGAGGAGGCCGCTCACGCTGGAGCCGAACGTTCAGACGGGGGCCGCAGAGCGCCTTGCCCCTGCCCCTCGGAAGTCCTCAAGGTGCAATACAGTCTCCACACGAGGGACGCTGCCATCTCCAAAGACAGAAGTGTGCTCGGAAGCCGGTTGGAAATATTTCATCATTTGCCCCAGGGACCATCCTAACTCTATTCCTACCTAAGCAAATCAGATTATGAATATAGTCCCCAAGCCAGGTCATCTAAAGACATCTATATTCGTACGTAGATGACCACAAAAATCGGTGTGGATGCTGTTCTTTTGGGAGCACAAAAATAACTCCATGGCCCCCAGTGTGGCTCAGTGGATTGAGCACGGGCCCGCAAATCAAAGGGTCACCAGTTCAATTCCCAGTCAGAGCACATGCCTGAATTGAAGGCTAAGTCCCCAGCTGGGGGTACGTGAGAGGCAACAACACAACGATGTTTCCCTCCCTCTCTTTTTCCCTCCCTTCTCCTCTCTCTAAAAATAAGTAAAATCTTTAAAAAATAAAAATAAAAAAATAAATGCTGAAACAACAATTAGAGGGACGTTTGCTTATTGGTAAGATAACACGCTTACCTTTTCAGATCAGAAATCTGAGTCTGTGCATCAAGCAATTTATTCTCTGTTACATTTAACGTATCCTATGAAAGAAGAAAGACTCAGTGAACTGTAAGATCATTCAAATGCAGCCCCTGTATTCAAAACTGCAAAATGCAAAACTCATCGAAGGCTGCCCCAGAAAGACACTCAGCAAGCACAGCGCCCACTGGGGCCGAAGACAGGGTTCAAGGGAAAGAGAGCAGGGCCCCGGCTCCCATGCGAGGACGGCTCGACGAGAAACGACCCAGGGCTGGAACGCTAAAACGGACACACGTCACCCACAGACCTGACAAAGTCTCAGCACGTGGAGAAACCAACCCCGGCGACTGTGGGTTTCAGTTGCGAGGACCCAGGCGGCCGGGCCGGCCTGCCTCTGCCCTTCAGTGACCTCCGCGCAGCACACGATGCGGCCGAAACACTCAGGCCCCCACCACGCTGTTTGGGGTCTCCCGGAAAACAAATGCAGTTTCCAAACAGAGCTTTCATCGGGAATTCAAATGTAATCCGCAAGCTCAACCCCACAAAAAGTCGGTGCTTTGAAAAACAAAACTTTATATTTAAATAGTATTAATTATTTGCATCTGCATGGTATCTTATTCTTTCCAAAACTTTCATCTCGACTCATCTCAAATGCAATAACCATTCAATGAGTATTTGTTGAATTCACAAATCCACCACTCACAGGGGCTGATGTTCAAAAACGAGCCTACCAAGGAGAGGGTGAGGGAGTGGCCAATTCCGAGAGCTACGTGGGGATGGGGGAGTGGCCGGAAGAGGAGGGAGGGCTCAGGGCCTGGGTGTGCAGCCCAGTGTCTGCCCCCACCGCAAGGTCGGAACACGAATGATGACGCACTATTACCTTCACTCTGGCGTGTTCTTTTCCGAGGGACTCATACTCTCCTAACAGCTGCAGGAAAAATGAAGAATTGAACCACAAAATTAATCATTAAAATATCGATGGAAGGATATGCTATAAAATAACTGCCCGTACTCTTTAAAAACGCCAATATTTGCCCTGGCTGGTGTAGCTCAGTGGATTGAGCGCGGGCCTGCGAACCAGACAATCGCAGTTCGATTCCCAGTCAGGGCACATGCCTGGGTTGCAGACCAGTTCCCTGCAGGCTAGTTCCCAGCAGGGGACCCACGAAAGGCAACCATACATTGGTTTCTCTCCCTCTCTCCTTCCCTTCCCCCTTAAAGATAAATAAATAAAATATTTAAAAAAAAAAACAAAACGCCAATATCATGATAGAAAGGTTACCACACTATTTTAAATTCAAGGCAACTAAAGAAGGAAAGTGAAGGTAAGGCATGATCCCGGGCTGGGAGAAGTATCGTATAGGGGCAGCTGGGCACGGACCGCATCCCTCTCTGATTTCTGTACTGTTCTACCTGCTCTGTGGCTATGAATGAAAAGGCCCTTGTTCTTGGGAAATACATTCCAAAAACTTGGGGTAAAGGGCCTGATGCCCGCACCTGCCCTCCAGCAGTCCAAGGAGGGAGCTTCGAGGGTGAGCGCCAAAGCAGGTGTGGCAAGATGCTGCTGCCGCCCCTTGGTGAACGGAATGGCGGGTCTGGCAAGTGTCCCGCAAGTTCCCATTTATTTCAAAGAAAAAAAGTAATTTCAGTCCGTATCCTTTCAGTAATATTTTAAAAGATTAAAATGTATTTGCATTATTCTGTTTCGAATGGTCACACACTCTTTCTCGCTAAGTTGGTGCCACAGAGTAGAGGTAGCAGCCAAAAGTGTAATAAAATAAGGTGCTTTATTTTAAAATAGCTATGTGAGACTTCTGGCTAAAGAAGACAGTCATCACAGGTCTTTCGCTTTACGAAGCTGTTGCAGAGAAACCAGAAGCAGTAACAGAAACAGGTGCAAGACGTCAGGGAAGACGCAGCGAGGCGGAGGGGCTGAGTCAGGGGTGCCGACAGAAGGACAGCGCTCTCCTGACCCTCAGAGGCTCAGACCTGAGTGCCAACCCCGTGGCGGGCAGGGCAGAAGCACAGGGTAGAGCACAGAGAACCGGCTGGAAGTCCTCAGCAGAGAGGTCAGAGCACAGGACCTCCCCCCCATCCCACCACGGACTTCCCTGCCAGGCATCAAGACACAGGCGACATGGACGGGAGGACAGTGCAGCTCTGGAAACCCAAGGACAACAGAGAAGGGGAGGCAACGGGGTAGAGAGAAGACGACTGAGGAACAGTCTTCAAAACAGAACCAGCTCACCCCCACCCCCCACCCCCAGAGCCTCACCGCTCGAGAGTTTTCTGTAAGTCTAAAACTATTCTAAACACTAAAGTATTTTTTGGAAAGTAATATGTGACTAAAAACTAAAGTTTTCAGACGTGGAAGGTCTCCAAATTTGTCTCCAGGCTGGACAGAAAGAAGCGAAGAGAGCTCCCCGGACGAAGGCAAGCCCAGGAGCACCTGCCACCAGGCCTCCCAGGCAGCGGTTCGGCCTGATGCAAGGGCGGGGGGGGGGCGGGGCAGCGGGGCAGGAGGAACGAATGCTGGGCACATGGAAAACTAAGCAGATTTAAAAAACCAAGGCAAGCCACGGCTGGTGTAGCTCAGTGGACTGAGCGCGGGCCTATGAACCAAACAACCGTGGTTTGATTCCCAGTCAGGGCACATGCCTGGGTTGTAGGCCAGGTTCCAGCAGGGGACGCACGAGAGGCAACCACACATTGACATTTCTCTCCCCCTCTCCTTCCCTTCCCCTCTAAAGATAAATAAGTAAAATCTAAAATAAAAAATCAAGGCACATCTAGGAAAATAAAAGTTGTATGAGAAAGAAAATGTAATCACTGTACATCGTGGCTTAGCTATGAACAGTATTTACAGACATAAGAAATACTGCATCTTGCCCTGGTTGTTGGCTCAGTGGATTGAGAGCTGGCCTGCAAACCAAAGGGTCACTGGTTTGACTCCCAGTCAGGGCACATACCTGGGTTGTGGCTAAGAGGCAAACCATAAATGCTTCTCTCACACATTAATGTTTGTCTACCTCTCCTTCCACCCTTCCACTCTCTCTAGAAATAAATAAGTAAAATCTAAAAAAAGAAAAAAGAAATACTGGATCCTGACCTAACCGGAAATGATAATACACCATATTTCAAATGGCAGACACCACTGAGCACAAATCACACATTGTTTTATTGACTACTAGAGAGAAAGCACGCTGTTGCTGAGATATGTCACACTGGAGTGCAGATGCACTCCAACTTCAGAGTTGCTAGAACACAAAACAGGCTTCCTGACTTCAGCTCAACACACAGACTGCATCAAGAGAAGGGAGAGAGGTGTTTGTGTCCGGAGTACTCGGGTAAGAAAGCGAAGCTGTAATAACCAACATAAATAAACGGACAAAGAGAAAGCCACGCTGTGTCTTGGACTGAAGGAAGTCAACAGCATCTCTGATGTCTGAAGTGACAGGAAAAAAAGGAAAAAGTCAGGTAAGTTTCATTTTCAGAAACATGGAGAAAACGGTGAGAAGAAAGAGATGAAGGGACTGAGAGTGGTGGCCTATTGGGAACCGCCCCGCCTGGTTTCAGAAGCTGTACACCGCCCCCACCAGGGCTAAGGCCGAGTGAGTGACCTTCGGACCATAAGCTGCTATAGAGACAAAGCTTATCTCCCTGGCAGGGGCGCCGCCTCTGCTCCTTTTACTTCACCCTGCCTGGCCCCAATGCTTGATCTACCCAATGACGGGTAAGATTCCTCAAGGGAGGGACAACCTACAACAGGCACGATCACAGGGGACCTCCCAGGGAAAGACTCGAGGGTCTACAGAAAAAGGGGATGACGGATCCTCACCCTTTGGCTTTGACACAGCCTGTGTCCTCATTCTGCTGCAAGAAGTCTCCTAATCTCTTGGCTGCCTTACTTCCCCTGCCTGACTTAAGCCTGAAACAATTCAGTGGTGGGTGCAGCCCTGTGCTGGAAAGGGCAGGTTCCCCAGGGCAATCAGGCCTAAGAAAGAATGCATAAAATCCTGTGAAGCCTACCTTGCTAATACCCTCAATTTAAATAATAAGGGACCAAGTAGGAAGTGAGTTTGTTCCAGGAAGTTTTATGGTCCTTTAGCTATCTGACCCTGACTCAAAATAGGCCCTCAGAGTTCTTTGAGAGTTATCTACTGTTTAATCATTTCTGCCTGACAATGACTGATGAGCTTTATTCAAGTACAAACTGAACCAAATAAAAGCAAGGCAAGGGCAAGTGCTCTCCTTGACCTGGTCAAAGCAAGGGTTGGGGCACTCTCCTCTGGAGAGAGTAGCCTGCCACCCCTTTTCCCCCACAGGACTCGGTAGTCCGTGTGAATGTCTTGTCTCATCCACAGCGCCACGGACACTGCGGTGTGGTGTCCTCGAGAGCAGCACCCCACCCCTGCCCCCTTTACTCTGAGGTAGAAATGGGAGGAGACTGTTTCTCATGTGACACTTGACTATGTAAACCATCCACATGTATCACTGCCACAAAAGCACATTTTCAAAGGCAAATCAACAGGAATCAAACCTAAAGCTATTAGGAGGAAGCTTTCAATAGCCAAATTGCTTTTAGGTTTTCTTAGGTACCATGACAAAGGATATTAAGAAAAACCTAGGAAAAAGTACACAGCCTGAAACCTACTCCCATTTCAGTGATTTACAAATCCAATTTTAGATGAAATTAAACCAGAATGAAAAAATTCAGTCAGTCCTGTTCTCAATCTGGTTCCTTTTACTCTGCCTTCAAAGTGGCCCAACTGTGTGGGTGGGAGGGAGTGACGCCCCAGTTCTGAAAGCTACAACTTCCTGCTTCAACAAATCCCTCCACAGGGTGTGTGTTTGCAGCTACGTGAGGTTATGTAAAACAAAAGTGCCTATGGGAAAAGTCACAGGAGCTTGTAAAAGTGCGGTATCTGAAGTCACTGCAGCCACATCACTCAGCCACCACTGCAGGCCACTTACGTCTCGAAACATTTTGTTTTCCCGTTTCAGCCTGGCGTCTTTGTCGTCAGAGAGTTTGTAAGCATTCTCAAAGGCTTCTTCCAGGTCCTGCAGCCTAGCTTTCAGTCGGCCGATGGTGCTGTCCTTCTCCTTATTGCTCGTCCGCATTTCCTCGATCCGCTCCTGCAGAATTTTGGAGGTGCTGCTGGCAGCACTGAGGCGCTCTCTGAAATCACTCTACAAAACACAGACGAGGGCAAGGAATTGTTTTCCATAGAAATAGGTGTCTCGTAGCAGCTAATAAACTGTGGACATTAAACTGTGAAAGAAAAGTAGTAGTAATAAAGCAAAACATGAACTGGAAATGAACAAGTTGGATGTTGTGTCATAGCCTGGGATGGGGACTAGGAAGGGTGATGACCGCAAGGTTGTCACTGGGTGTGGATGGGAAGCCACCGTCAGAGGTACTCTGACCCCAGGACTTGTGGCACGTCCAGCCCAGGCCCACCCACGGAGACAGAGGGCAGGCAGACGGTGGGGGGGGGGTCACGTGCGGGGTTTCCCTGTGAGAACAACGTTCTCCGACCGTGATGGTGGCCACACAAGTTTGTGAATGTGCTGCACACCACTGAGTTGTACGCGTTAAAAGGGTGAGTTTTATGATAGGCAAATTAAATCCCAATAAAAAAAGAAAAACTGTAAAGGGTAACAGTTTATAGTACCCTATGAAGCTGACAGCTCTCAAAGTACAACCTTTACAATAGGACATCCTAAAGGAAAGGTCATAAAACACTAAAACCACAGTTTTTATGAAAACGACTTATCTGCCTCTGAAGAGTTCATAAACAGGCTGTTTTGGACCCGAAGACACCAGAAGAGCAACAACACAGAACCCTCACTCACCACTTCTCTTTCCAGTAAGTTATTCGTGCTTTCAAGTGTCCTCACTCGACTCGTGGCTTCATTCAGGGCACCATCTAACTGACTGCACCTGGGACCACAAATGGAAATGAAACAGTCAGAAGGTCAAGTCCTCCCCCTGAAAAGGGTCCTGGAAATCTCAGGACTCCCCGGGCAGCACCAGCACCGGCTCCACGTCTGCCAAGGCGCAGGAGGTGTTCCGTAAAGTGCATTCCAACGAACCCGATGGCAGTGGAGGACCTAGAGTAAACTGTGATATGAACTACTGAGTGAACAAAGCAGGTGTGAACAGACACCTCTTGCACACCCACGTTCACAGCAGCATTATCCGCAGTGGCCGAGCAGCAGCCCCAGCGCTGCTCCAGAGGGTCGCTGCACAACAAAACCCCGTGCATGTGTCTACGTACATGTGTAAGGAGATACTACTCTGTCTGGAAAGGGAAGGGAACCGGGACACAGGCTACAACATGAATGAACCTCAAAGGAATTAAGCTAAGTGACATGAGCCAATCGCAAAACTCCAATATTGCACGATTCCATTTACACAAGTTACCCAGAGGAGTCAAATCCACAGAAATTCACAGAAAGTAGAATGATGGTTGCCAGGGGCTGAAACACTGATAAAACTGTTCTTGAAAGAAATACCCCCAGTTATGTGCAGGTGTGTTGACTGTATGCTGTTTTTATTATCACACTGATTCTGCTTTGCCAGAGACCTCCCCCCACTCCACCCCAGAGTTTGGCCGTGCGAGGTAAAATCTGCCACCCCGCCAGCCTACGATACTGCTGTTGGCAGCCCCATATGCAGTCCTGGTGGGATTCTCCAATTTGCAACTTCAAGTTTGGAAAACCTGCAGTGCATGCCGACCACACAACTGGTGTTCGTCTTAGGTAAATCGGTTCTGCAGACTGCGTGCCCACAGCTTCCGGTTCTGACTCTGCCGGCTTCGGCACACACCGCTCTAGGCTGTGAGCTGGGTCACATCCTCCAGGGGCAGCGCTGGAAACCATGCCACGCCGTCGCCAGCCTGCTACCGTCACACTCGCTCCGGCACCCTCCGGTATTGCTGTGGCCTAAAACCCTGACTTCCAACGGCCTTCCCTCCACTCTCTCACTGCTTTATGTGCTCCTAGCAGCTCCCAGCCATAAAAATGTTTTCATTAGCCATGAGCTACTAGGTGTTGTGAACGCTGGCGCTAACAAGCACTGCTGGTGGCTAACTGGGCTCAAAAAAAAAAAAAAAGAGCCTAGCAGCGATTTCTGTACAAGGGCCTCCCACACAAATGGCACTTTGCGGAGAAGCCTGCCCAGCGCTTCTACCAGCTGAGCTGGCTCTTACACAGGAGCTCTTACACAGGAGCTCCTGGAGTGTAGTTCAACCAATGGGACTGGGGCTTTCCCCATCCAATCAGAGCTGTGCAGCCCTAACCAATAAGAGCCGCTCTGCTCTGACCAGTCAGGACAGTGCCTCTGGGCCAATCAAACTGTGAAAACTCTGCACCCTCATTTGCATGAGGGCAGACCAATCAGGGACCAGGGGCGGAGACCTCTGTCTATATAAACCGGCTCTTCTGCATGTTGGGGAACACACTTTCCACTAAAGAGGGCTGTTCCTTGGGTGGAGGTGAAACGCTGACTGAGACTTCTTGGGGGCAGATTTCACAACCATGCTAAAATACTGTTAGGCTACTTGTACTAAATAGTTTCTTTCTTCACCACACCCCAAATTGGCATTGAACTAATGCCAAAAACCAGTTGAAAGTGCCCTCTTTGGCACCCTCTCTTTTAACTTAGGAAGATTTACTGATGAGCATCTTTCAAACTTGTGTTTATCAACAGGAAGTACCTGTGGTTGTCTTTGCCTTCTGAAGCAAAAAAAAAAAACCCTTCTAACCTGCTATCTTTTTTTTTTTTTTGTCCTATAAAACTTAGACCTAAAACCAAACACACAAAAAACTTAGGCCTGGATTTTTTTCAGGCTCTTTTTCAAATTGTCTCTCTCTACCATTGCACCCCCTCTCCCACCACCAACAGCAGAGTGGAAGCTGCGGACACTCGGGAGTGAGAGGACGGCAAATCCACCCCGCATGGCAACGGCGAGCTGCTGCTGTGAGGGCTCCTTTCCCTGGCATTCTGCAGCGCCAGCTGTTTGCTGGACCGGAAGATGGCGGTTCCCTCCTGAGCTGTTTTCAAGGGGCGTAGTCTGTTCTGCCCCAGGTGAGAAGTCTCTGCTGTCCTCTAGACTGGAGCAGTTTGCAGTCTAAGTCCTATCTGATTGTAATGTGTGTTGCAATGGCAGGATTGTACTAACTGAAGCGTCTGATTTTGTCAGTCGTTCTCTCTAAAATGGGTGTAACGCTATCCGTAGTGCAGGGCCATTCTGCCCCGTGTTCCTGTGGTTGGTTTTTTTTTTTAACAAGATAATTGCTTCCAAGGAGTCAAGAGCCTTTAGGTACAAAAAAATGGTTGAGAGTCACCTCAGGACATTAGTCATCGATTCTCATTAGGGACCCAGGTGTAGCACTAACCCTCCTGGAAGTGACATTACTCCACACAGTTGGCTCAACGGCTCTGGCACAGTCTGCCCACAGGAGGCGACTGTCCTGGTGTCAGCTGTGCTGTGTCTGTAAAAGACTGGTTCAAATCTGTAAACATAATTACGCAGGCGAGCACGTTTTTGGTGTTAAAATTTTCAAGTCTGAAGCACATGCTTTCAAAGTGTTTTATCATCAAAATATATTATACTTTGGAAAAAAATATATCCAAGTTGGAGAACACTAAGAGTTAAATTACATATTTAGTTTTAAAATTCTATTTTTTTTTTCTTTTAGAGGGAGGGAAAGGGAAGGAGAAAGAGAGAGTGAGAAACAGAGATAGGTTGCCTCTCACACGCCCCCAACTGGGGACCTGGCCGGCAACCCAAGCATGTGCCCTGACTGGGAATCGAACCAGCAACCTTTCAGTTTGTAGGGTAACACTCACTGAACCACAGTCAAATTATATTTAAAACTATTAATACATTTAAAATTGTACCTGTCTATGAGAATTTGATTCGTTTTCCTCCAGTCTTCAGCTGCAGAAATTTCTTTTGCCTCCAATTTCTGTTTCAAGCTGTGTATTTCTGATTCATAATAAGCTCGAAGATCTGCTACGTGTCGGGCATGCTTTTCCTTCAGGTTCTGCCTAATGCTGTTGGCGGGAGCAAACAGAAGGGTATGAAGCAAGCCCCTCCTCGTTCTCTCTCCCCAAAGAGAAGCCAAGAACACAGCCATTCTCCTGAGCAAAAATGCAGCCCTTTTCCTTTATATACTCACAGAAAATATAAATAGGTTAATACATAAGTTGATGACTACTAAAGTGAAAAATACATGGATTATTTAATTTTTAGGTCTACCTTAAAAATGCTATTTCTTTAACTTAAGATTTTATACATTACTGAAGTTCAGTAAAAATCATTTTCATCATTTAAGCAGACACCATAGAAAATCTATTAACATTACAAGCCATCCACTGAAATACATACTTAGACAATATCACAGGATCTTCCAGGGAAGTCAATGAAATGCATTCTGGGACACTGTTGGCTGTACCTGGAAGCTGGGACTGACTGACTGAGGCTGCAGTTACCATGACAGTGTTGTCTTCTTCTACGGTGTTGACTGAGGTGTCATTACTAGCCACAGTATAAACTGAGGGAAGCGTGGAGCTGGCCCTGCTTTCATGTGGGAATGTGTGGTTCTTCCACGAGTCCACCGGTGAAGCTGTGGCATGGGAAGGGTGTCTCGGGAAGCCAGACAGCTGAGAAGGGACATTACTTGCTTGTGAAAAGGAGTCTATGTCCGAGTGACCAGACATGGGTTCCAGGACAGAGTCTGGCGAGAAGGACAGTCTGTCATCGAGAGCATTCAGAAAGCCCGGAGGCTGAATCCCTGAGACCTGCTGGCGTGGCCTCAGGTGTAATGTTGGATCTAGAGTCAGGACCTGGAATGAGACAGGCGGCAGTAAGGTTCCTCCCTCAGCTCTCGGGGCGCTGAAGTGGGCAGGCTGGGGTCCCGGGGAGAACAAAGCCACGGGACAGTCAGAGTCACGAAGCCAGCAGGATGCCCACAACTTTACCTCGGGCGGTCGGTTGGGGTTGGAAGCAGAGGTGAGATCCCTCTCCGGTAACTGCTTGTCTTCCCTTTGCTTTCTATGATAAATGTCCTTCAGTGACGGTAGCTTCATCTCATTACTAGCGTTAAACTTAAAGATAAGGAACAAAATTACTTAAATGGTATTATCAATGATGAAAAAGTTTACTGGTATCAAGATCGACACCATAAAGAGATATTTAAAAAGATTTTAAATAAACTGACACTCCGGATGTTAGATTTACAATAAAGGTTTGCAAGTCAAAACCTCTTAGAATGAGTCTCCCTCACAATGGAAAGCTCTCCTAGTCGGTAACAAGGAATGGTAAAGGGTCACTAGGGCCTAATCTGTTAGCAGCCGAAAATACTTCCCCAGAAGGAAATCCCTGGCAGCCCCCTACTCAAAGTAAGAACCAGGCTCCGAGATAAGAACTGACTTCAGGACGGAGGAGTGAGGCTGGGCCAGAGCACTTCCCCCCAGATTAATTCCCTGCGACTCCAGGGGGCCGCCATCAGGAGGCAGAGTCCCTCCGCCATGTAGGCCATGTAGTCACATCTGCGATCAGAGCTGACAGATGAGAACAAAGCGCTTCAGTGGCCTGACACCAGGGCTTCCAGGCGCTGAGAACACTGCGAAGTGGTCCACGCTCCGGGTATTAAAACTTGGGCTGAAATCATTTCAAGGTGGGAGCTACTGCGGGGTGAGAGCCCCTGCCGGGGGCCTGGGTGACAGGGCTGGAGTGGCTCCATTCAGGGCTCACGGTAGTTAGCACAAGCTGCCACTTGCCACTGTGCTGATGACTTCTTTTCTCTTCGTATTTTCGAATCTCTGAAAGGAGGCCTCTTGTAATTCATGGCACCTCACAACTGCTTCCAGTCGAGCAACAGTGTGACATAACTGCCACTGCCCGCTGATAAGCAACTACCAAAGCCGTCGAAACGGGCCACGCAAGTGTCCCACAACTCCACCAGAACCCGAGACCTGCTGTTGAAGGAACAGCAACTCACACACGTTGAGCAGCAGCGCCCCCCCCCCCCGTCCCCAGAGTCAAAGGCAGGCCGGCCCCACAGAACCACTAAGCCGGGCAAGGCCCAGCACCAAGGCCTTCTGTGTTTTTTCCAGAAATGCCAGGTCACCAAGGAAGATGGAGTGTGGAGACCAGAGACCAATGCTGCAGAGAAGAGTGGAGGGCAAGCCTCTGTGGGCGAGGAAGTTCTCACCAGTTTACCTCACCCACGTCTTCCTGTTCACGTATTACTATGTGTAAGGCTTATGCGGTAAAAGTCTGGTGGCTCCTTAGAGCCACAAACACAGGACTCACAATTGATGTCTTGGGGGAAGTGACACATGGGGAGCCCCACTGTTGCCCTCCCAGCCCCGGCCAGTCTCACGTCCCCACCCGTCTTTTCTCCCTGGGTTTGTCTGTCTCTTTTCTGGCTCCCTCCCTGAGGGGCACATGCTGGCTTCTGACGCGCTCGGGCCTCTGACGTTTGCGAGTCTGCTGTCGTCCGTCTGTGCCTGTCCCCGAGGCTCACAGTCTCTCCTTCCCCCAACCTACTCTTCTCTCGTCACCCAATCACAACAGAGACATGAGTGTGCACCTCAACTTAGGTGTACTGGAAGGTTTTCTTTGCTCAAATAACATACCGACTTTTCTCACTGAAAGAAAATTAACGCCGCCAACCGAAATGCTCAGAACCAGCATGCGAGCGGAGCAGTGGGAGGAGTGAAGGGTGGAAAGTCCAGCAGGTCGGAGAGCAGGGGCACAGGTGTGTCTGTGGACCTACTACTGCACCTAGAACGGCCGGACGAACCACCTCCTTCCACCGCACAGAGCATGCACGGGCGTGCCCTACCCCATTCGTTCCGCAGCCTCTTCCCTAAGACCACACAGGGACAGAATCTGGGAGCAGGCGACTGCCAGTGAGAGCTCATGCTTGTTTCTCCACCGGAAACTGAACATGACCTACCTCTGGTAACGCAAACACACACAAACACACCCCGAGTGGTTTCAGGTACCTGGCTCGCTGACACTCCGGAGGAGGGTGGGGCTGCAGGTGGGTCGGCAGCCGCGGGCGCACAGTGGGGCAGGTCTGTCTTCTGCAGCTCCCAGTGCGTCAGGCCTGCGAGCGGCACACGGAGGGCAAGGAGTGAGGAAAGAGCGCGAACACGCTCCTAGCACAACGCGTCTGCCTGAAGACAACAACCAGCGAGAGGGACGCGGCTCTGCCTGTTCGCACAGAGTAAGGGGCGTCTGCACGGAAAGGCTCCCGTGAACGCCCTACCACGTAGGAGTCCTAACCTCACGACCCAAATACTTTAAAAATACGATATCACACGTCAAGATCAACTAGCATAATTTAAAAAATTGTAAAGACGACAACTTCTTTAGGAATAGTACAGATTCACATGAAAACAATGGAAAAAATACAGCAACTGAAATCTTTATGGAGCATTTACTGTGCCAGGCTGGGGGGGGTGGGCAGGGAGACCGTGACCTGAACAATGAGAAAATCCCACACTCTGTACAGTAAGTTAGAGAGTGGGGAGCCCTTGGAGGGTACATTTAAAATCAGAGACGGGGAAAAATTCAGTGGGGGGGGGGGCAGGGGCGGTGCGGCAGGTGCTCTCTGTGAATAGGGGGTCGGCGGCCTCATGGCGAGGGTCACGATTAAGAAGGAGCTGGCCATGGCAGCCGTGTGTGAGGCCTCTGAGGCCTCCCCATCCAGGGCGAGCACAGTCCAAGTACAGGAAGCAGCCAGTGCAAAAGCCCCGACAGGGGTGTCCAACCTGTTGGTGTCTCTGGGCCACACATTAAATACACAAAAACTAACAAAAACTAATGAGCAAAAAAAAAAGGCTTTAAGTAAATTTTCGATTTTGTGTCAGGCCGCGGGTTGGACAGCCCTGAATGAGAACCCCTCTGGCCAGTGAGCAAGCAGCCCCCAGCTGAGTGGAGATGGGGAGGGAGCAGCAGAAAGTGAGGTCCTCGCCGGGCCCCTGTAAGGACTGGCCGAACTCTGAGGGAAGCGGAACCGGCGTTTGGAGCAGAGAGGTCACGTGACCTGGCCCATCCGTACAAAGGAGCAGGTGGCACAGCTGTAAAGCACTGGATGGAAAGCACCGGAGGCTGGTCGGGAAGGTGCAGGAGCCCAGGACAGAGGACGGGCTCTGAGATTGGGAGTCAGAGTGAAGGCGGTTGGAGTGGGGCAGTTTTCAGAAGGCACAGCTAACCCGTCCAACGAAGTGGGTGGAGGGATGCGGCAAAAAGAGTCACAGTGTGAAACCGTCAGAAGGAGACTGAGGTGCCACAGAGAGTGGAGAACGGCCCTCAGAGGGCCTGCGCTTCTTCGATCGGTCATTTTGAGGCACCTGAAAAACGCTGAGAGGCTTTGGGGCTGCCTGAAAGCGCGGTGGAAGCACGTCGTCGGTGTTGACAGCCTCAGGGACCCCAGGAAGGGGGCCCGGCGACCAGAGGGGTGACACGTGGGCGCAGACAGGAGCCACCCAGCTCACCGCACACGACCCTCGCCCACCGGGAAAAGTGGTTGGTTAAAAATACACAAACGCTTTCTAAGAGCGTAAGTGCCCATACCTGTTTCTGCATCCGACATCCAAGAGCCCGGGCCTCCGTCTGGCTCCCGGAGGTAAAACGCACAGGGCTGTGTGGCGGCAGTGAGCTCCAGCTGCAATCAACAGGGACAGCTGTGAGTGACAGTGGAGCACCCCGGGGACAGACCCAGGGCGAGACCTGCCAGAGGTTCAGGCACAGGGGACCTGGCTGGCCCTCTTGTTACAAGAACACCAAACGGCTGGCATTGCAGTGAATCACTCTCTTTTCCTACACAATTTACAAAAGAGTATTCAGGTCCTCCGTGGAGCCAGAAGTAAAACACTGGGAGCAGGTATTATTCAGTGAGTTTGGAATGGAAATGCATTTATAATTTGCCATCCACTTCCAAATGAAATTTGAGGTGCCTAGAAGTAAAGTCTTTTGGTATAAAAATTAATGTAAGAGCTATACCGATTCATTTGATCACCGAAGCTGTAATAAATCAAGTTGACTCTGAAAACCACAAGCAATGACCGACGTGTGCATCAAGCTGTGGACTGCCTCGTGTGTTCCAACAGTGGGCGGCCGGACCCAGACCGGCCCAGACGCTCACCACCCAGGCTGATGGCCCCCCTGGGCTGGGCTCTCTGCCGGAGGCCCTGGCGCCCACACGGAACCCGTGCCCCGGGGGGACCACGGTGGCGGGAGATTTCTCAGTTCCCCACCATCAGACTGTCAACGCCTGTGGAAGCCTGTCAGCGGCAGAGCAGAGGTGACAGCCCCCAAAGAGATGACGGTCCACCTGCCCAGGAGGAAGGGGCGCCTCCCCTCGGCCTCCTGAGGCATTGCTCAGCCCCTTCTTCCTCAGCGAGAAACTCCTGGGCCATTTTTTGTCTCGACTAAAAGGCCCGCCCGTTCCAATTCCTGTCCTGTCTCAGCCCTTATAAGGCCAGGACTAGGGCAGTGGCGCCCACTAAGGGAAAACTGCCCAGTGAACTGCTGTCCTCTTCCGATTCTGAGGAGTGGCTGCGGGCACTGCCCACAGTGGGCAGGGGGCTGGCCTGACATGCTGCCCCCTGCGCCCCCTGCTCCCCTCAGCAAGTGAGGGGCGGCTGCAGCGAGCAGGCCCGGCCGTTCGAACTGAAGCAGGGGCCACGCGGAAGGCCCTTCACCTGCAAACCCAGCGGGCGAGGGACACACCGCTGTCCCAGACCAAAGCAACAAAGGCTGGGGCTTCAGGAAATCCGCATGTGAACATGACTCAGTTTCAAGAGGTGCCTCAGGGCAGCTAGTGCCCAAAACAAACCAAGTATCAGAACAAATCTCAGACCTCGAGAGAATTCTGAGCATAAGGATCTCTTGGTCTACCCCTGGCTGGTGTATCTCAGTGGATTGAGCGCCGGCCTGAGAACCAAAGGGTTGCAGTTCGATTTCCAGTCAGGGCACATGCCAGGGTTGCAGGCCAGATCCCCAGTAGGGGGCGTGTGAAAGGCAGTCACACATTGATGTTTCTCTTCCTCTCTTTTTCCCTCCCTTCCCCTCTCTCTAAAAAAAAAGTAAATAAAATCTTTTAAAAAAAGGAAAGGATCCCCTGGTCTAGACTGAACCTAGAAAAAACAATGGGAGGAAAGAAAGATGAAATAAAAAGCAAAGTCCCAACTTCTGTGAACCCACAGAATTTGGTTCAGAACTACACAGGTAAGGATGCATTTCAGCTGTGGATTTTTGACTCATGAACCACATTATCTGAAAATCATTTAAAACTCAGAAAAAGCACAAAAACTTAATTTTCCCTAATGACTTAGTGCCAAAATTATCATTCACCTTAAAAAAGAGAAGCAACATAAAGTGTGCCCAGGAGACAATCAAAGAAAAGGAGCACTTGAGGGACCGCCCCTCCCTGTGCAGTCCCGGGCAGGCCTCCTGGGGCGTCTCCGCTGCTGCGGCTCTGACCCCCCCCCCACTGCCCAGGGGGCCAGGACAATCAGGCTGGGCCAGTGGCTTCCAAGGGACAACCAACCTCCGGCTCACAGCTCACACCTGCACCACCGAGGGCTGACTGCCTGGGGTCACAGGTGGATTTTCTTTAAGCTCCTCGAGTGTCCAATGTGCAGCCAAGCCTGGAAACCACTGGGCTACGAGGAATGATACTGAACTACAGTGACGGAAGACACGGGAGACTCAGCCTGTGGCTCCGCCCAGTTCCTACCACCAACCCAACAGTCACGGAAGAGGGAGTCTCCACAGGCTGAGATCCAGGACCAATGTGTCTGGGAACAGCGTCCCTTCCCGCCTGCCTCCTGCACTGAACACAGCCACTGTCACCCCATCTCCGGGCACTGTCATGCTCTCACACCAAACAAGGGCACAGCGCCAGGGCGGCATGCAGGCCAGGGGCACAGCTCCCCCACAGCCCCCCTCCCCACGCCCCTCCCCAACACACGCCGAGGCTCAGGGACTGGTGGTATCAGGGAGTCTGAGTGTCCGGGGTGAAGAAAGGCACTGTGTTGAAAGAAAAGAGGAATAAACAGCCTTATGAAGGCCGAGCAACTGTCTTCTTGGGGCTCCTACTCGGTACCTTTTTCATCGGATGATAAAAAGGCTGTGTCAGCTCATCAAGACACGGCCAGTGTGTAAAGGTATCAAGTTCGTAAAGAAACCAGATTTTCTAACTTCAATGTACTGTACCAAACAATGTTCTTCTATGATTACCTAGGCCAGAAGGGCTTTAGAGATATTTAAAACTTAGTATCTTTAACTCTTTAATGAAAGCAGTTACTGTATTAGCCAAAGGACCCCAAAGAAGTTAAACACTGAATCTCTTACTATCTGGACTATATTATAAATTCAGTTGTCCCAACTTCAACATTTTTATATAAAGGTGTCTTAAAGCCTTCACACATTCAGTACTACCTCTTACAACTTAATAGTGGAACAAATTACTTGACTTTTTAAAAAAACAATTACATCAATTACTCTTGGGTTAAATGTGAACATTTGCAGTGGAAAAAGAATTACGGTCTTTATAAGACACTTCTTTTTTTTTTTTTAGTATTTTATCCCTCATTAGTACTAATTTCTGGGAAGAACCAGCACTTAGAACAAATCATGGTCCCCACCCCTTTCTGCCAGCGGAAGGAAGATGGGTCAATGAAACAATTAACACACAAAGGAAAAGGCACGGGCAGTGGTGCCAATGAACAGGCGCACACCCGCAGAACTGGCGGGCCGGCCAGCAACTCGGCACCCACTTTCTCTGCGGCACCGACCTTCTCCACGGGCGCTGTCTGGGTCGGCCCACTGTCTGGCGAGGACTTGGGACATCCCTCTTCCGCACGTGCCCCCTTCAGGTGGCTCCGCTTCAGCTTCTGTGCCCATGATGTTACAGCTTTGCTGCTGGGAAAGAGTGAGCCGAGGTCACCCCTCACGCGCCACACTGAGCGTGCACAGGTCCCCAGCCTTGGAAAGTCTGGAGCTGTTTCCTAACAGCAAAGGGGGGGCGGACGCTTGTGGGGTCCCCTGAACGTCCTTTCCAGCTTCCCGTCACCGAAGGCAGAGGGAAGGAAAAGGCTAACAGTGACTGACAGTCCACACAGTCTGTGGCCAGGGCACAGAAGAAAGCCACGTCGTGACCCTTGTCTATGGCGACAGCGCAGACACGAATCGCGCGTGACTAGCAGTCACATTCGTGCACAGGACTCGGGCTGCAGAGGCTCGTACCTTCAGAGGACACGTTTCAGGGACGGAAAACTGAAAAGCTCAGAGAAACCACACAACTTTAAATGATTTTTTCTTTTATGAACGTTCAGCTACCGTTTCCTTTAGAAAGTCCCTGAATCAATCAAAATGTCACTGAACTTACAAATCTCTTCTAACATACGAAAACACAAAATTGAGCATGCCTGGGTGTAAATCTTTAAATAAGAGCTTATTTGCGCCAAACAGAGCTCATGGCTGCAAGCAAGAGCTCAACAAACTGAGGAAAATGCTTCCTGCCGTGTGGGACTTTTGATTTCCGATCACATGAACCCACGACAGAACCCGCTGTGGACCTGGCCCAGCCCTGCCACGCTCGGCAAGTGCGCAGTGACCAGGAAACGGGGCGCACGCTGCTCTGGGAAGGCCCCCCAGAGTGGTTAGACATCTGCGGACAGGAAAGGGCTGGCGTCATCGGCATCTGATGCGCGATGTGTTTCAGTGCCCACAGGCTCTGAATCAGAGACTTCAGTAACACTGGTGAGTGGTCAGATACTCTCCTATTCCAGTTCCACTAAAAGGAGCTTTATTTACTAGATTCTAAGTGTAAGAAACAAGGAAAACTCCCTTTAAATGATGCAGAAATCCTACTTACCTGTTTGTTTTTCCGCAGTAGACTTCTGAAATCTTACTCTCGCCAAGGAAACTGGGTTCAAATTCACCAGGAAAAATGGAAATATCTTCCTTTAAGGAGGCACCAAACTCTTGGGGAGCATGTATGTAGAAACGCTGGTTTCCTGCACCGTCCACGGGGGACGAGGCCCGCACGGCGGGTGCTCCGCCCTGCCCGGCAGAGGCCGCCCCAGGCTCCATGAACTCTGGGGGGCCCTTCGATCTGCGGGCGTTTAACTCCGAGACACAACAGGTCCCATAGCCACTGCTCACCGAGCTGCTGTCCACACTGCAGTCCGGGTGCGACGCAGGTGTTTCTTGCTGCATCTCAGGTTCTTCCGACTTCGGGTAACTGAGAACAGATTCATTTCTGTCACTGTTTTCAGAAAAAAAGCCCATTTGCCGCTCTGAAGGTGTCTGTTGATTTAAAGACCTTCCGTCACAGGAAGCCCGTGAAGCACTACTGCTCTGTAACTCGACTAAATTTCTTATCTCCTCCCGTATCCGCTGAAAATGAAAAGTCACAGGTTTAGGTGAGGAAGTACATTAAACGTCACATTTTTATACACAAGTGTTACGAAGACAGTGTCCCAAACATGCTGTTACTCTAGGATAACGCTTTTTCTCTAGCAGGTAAGCACGACTGGTGTGAAGTACTCGCGGTTCCCCTGCAAATCCTAACTCCAAAAAGAGGCTCGGAGTAAACAGCGACTTACTTGAACTTGGCTCTGGAACTGCTCCTGCTGGGCAGCTATCTGTTCTTGGCACTGTTTTTCCACCAAACCAAAGAGTTGTAACCACCTGGCCTATTAAATGATACAATATTTTAGTTAAAAATCATTTTTAACCTATTATTTCAGAGAAAAATCCCTGCAGTGGGAGAGGGCCCTTTTTAAAAGTATATATCTCGTGTAAAATTTGTAAGCTGAGTTAAAGAGCCATAAAACCACATTTACTGCAAAAATACCAGGACATGGGCTCGGGCACCCTTTCTGGGGGGGGGGACGGAGAAGGTCTGGGCAAGCCCCGCTTCTCAAACGGCCTCTGCGTTTGGCGTCCCCTGCTGTCGTTTCAGAACGGTCAAGAGCGGCGGGGCACCTCGTGTGTTTGCAGGTTCCTCTTCCTTTCCTTCTAACTGCCAACGATTTTCTTAAATGCTAACTTATACCCAGAAAAGAATCCCACATCTTACAACAAGAAATTGCCTGGTATTATAAGATTTTTAACCCCTAATTTATCTTTCTTAAAGTAAAACTCCCTTAAAAGTCAGATACTGTTATGTTTTAAAGCAGGACAGATGGAAAACGGACGAGAAAACGACTGAAGACCTCCGAGCAGCCTGAACCCCGAGCCTGTCCGGCTCCCAGGGGCAGCTGGCGGTCCAGCAGGGAGACTAAGCCGGGCGAAGCAGGAAATGGGCACGGGGTCCCCACAGGCTGAGCTGGCCCCGAGGCTGACGTGCTTTCAGTAACAGGCCCGGGGCAATAATCCGCAGTGCCAACCAGGAGCTGCCGGGGACACCGGCCTCGCTGGGCTGCATCTACCTTCTCCCCGGTTACCTCCTCCTGTGGGGCCTACATGGCCTGGCTCGGACACGCCCCCCAGCTTCCCCTCAGGGCTCTCTCCCCCTTGCTCAATACACACCAATCTCACTGGCTTCTTTCTGTCCCCGAACATGCCCAGCTATCTCTTGCCCCAAAAGCTGTGTTCTTGCTGGGCTGCTACCTGGAAAACTCTCCTCCCAGCCCCCAACATGCTGGCTTTCCCACACCCTCCTCACAGCTCCTCTCTCCCCGTCACCCTGCTCACTCCCTCACAGCACTGACCACAGTCAGAAAGGGCCAGAAAGGGCTGCCTCCGCTCAGTGTTAACTTCTCCACCCCCGCCCCACTCAGGCTGCGGCCCTCCAGAACACAGCCAGGTGAGCAAGCGTGCAGACGGACTTCTCCCGGATCCGCAGACTGCACAGCCCGGAGGCCCTGCGCAAGCAGGGCAAAGCCGCTCAGAGCACTCGATGGAGCAGAGTCAGGCTGAAACCTGTGCAACAGTGTTCGGGTGAGGGGGGGGCCTCTGCACTGGAAGAGCAAACCTTCAGAAGAAACTACGAAGGACTGACAGGAAGTGTGCATTCCAAATCCGCCAACTCCAAGACAAGGCAGGCTAGATCCACCTGGGCCCCTTATGGTCTCAACTTACCTGTCATATAAACTCTCACAGTAACCCAAAGAAACAGTTAAGGAAGCAAGTTTTCTTATTAAGCTACATGAAACCCAAGCAACGCGTGAGGGGTTACTTTTAACCTGATAAAGCTACTATTCACATGAAACTAAATTACAATAACGATAGAATAACCACTGACATAACAAAAAGGATTATGTGTAATCACATCCTTATTATCATTTTCTTACTTAGGATACAGATGAATAGAGCTCACTCAGGATATAAATTAGTGCAGAATTTCTTCTTCCTAGGCAGATTTTATCATTAATATTTTAACTTTAAATAAACTAATTTAAGAACATTATAAATGCAGTGAATAACATTAGTCACTTAACTACCGAAAAAGGGCTATTAGTCATTTCAAGCTAAAATAATTACCACCACCCGCCTCTCCCGCTCGGAGGAAACGGGCGCCCGGTCGGCGTCCTCCTGCAGGCGGCCTCTGGGTGCCAATGGCCAGAAGGGGGCCCGCAGGGTCCACTGGCCTGAAAACCCCACGGTCTCCAGTCCCCCAGGCCCAACTCCCAGCACTCCCCTCGGCCTGTGTGGTCCTGAACGAGTCGGTCTAACTTCTCTGGGCGTTTCCTGACTTGTCGGGAATGACTGCTCGGAGGGGGCTGAGGCGCAGATACAGATCTAAGCAGGGTGCCCATAAAGAGGCGGACTTGGGGAAACGGCATCGTGGACGCTGGTGAGGTCAAGGCCTCCACAAAGCCGGGGGGGGGGGGCTACTAGTGTTAGTGGGCTGGGCCCAGAGATGCGAATCACAGGACAGCCCACCATGAAGGATTGTGCCCACTTTTATTATAAAAATCATTATGTTTTGCAGTTGCAAATCACCAAGTTGTCCAGGAATGCACCTACTAGGACTGTTTGTTTCACTACTGAATTAGAAAATGGTCTCCTTTTCAGAAATCCTGTCTCCGACCGCAGTCCCGGGAAATCGGTACGACTCAGCCACAACGGCCCGTTTGGAGCAGCTGCCTCAGGCCGAGGCCGCAGAGGTGGACGCCAGGCTGCCTTCTAACGGGGACGGGCCAGCGTCTTTGTCCGTGGCAATACACAGGACCTTACTATAAACCACTTCCGTCCCTCCATTATAGCACAGTGTGGACACTGTGGTTTAAGTAGGTGCAGGCAGGTCATATTATCTGTAAATTTCATTTCAGGATGCTTTGTTCACATTATTTTATTTTCTTTTTCATTGATTTTTAGAGAGAGAAAGGAAGGAAGGGAGGGAGGGAGGGAGAGAGAGAGAAGAAGGGACAGAGAGAATCACCGATCCACTGCTTCACCCGTCTACGCGTTCACTGGTGGGTCCTGGCGCACGCCCTGACCAGGGGTCAGCCACCGTCTTGACGTATTAGGATGGCGCTCTAACCAACTGAGATACCAGCCAGGGCCGTTGATGTTATTTTTTAAATTGTTATAAAAAGAAGGCTCTGGCTCTAATAAAGGCACATGCCACAGCCAAAAAGTGGCCGCTAGAATGCCCAGCAAACGGACAATGAACGATAGATGCATCACTGTTATATATTGTCAGCAATGCCAGTTAACATGATTAACTAATTAAAACAAATTGGCGATGTGCTTTATAAATTTTTTCTTGTTGTTCAAATACAGCTGTCTCCATTTCCCCACCACCACCTTCCCCCGCCACACCCACCCTCAGTCCTGCCCTCCTCGCTTTGAAAATTTCTTACAGCCCTGGCTGGTGTAGCTCAGTGGATTGAGCGCAGGCCTGCGAATCAAAGGATCGCAGTTCGATTCCCGGTCCGGGCACATTCCTGGGTTGCAGGCCAGTTCCCAGCAAGGGACACATGAGAGGCAACCATACATTGATGTTTCTCTCCCTCTCTCCTTCCCTTTCCCTCTAAAGATAAATAAATAAAATTAAAGAAGTTTTTTTTCTTACAAATGTGAAACTGGGAAAAAAAGTCTCAGAGTGACAGAAATATTGGCAAGTACTTAAAAGACTATATGAAAGTACAGTATTTCTATGTACATGTGTTGAAGATTCCTTCCCAGCTGAATCAAAATAATCTCCCCCAGGTAAGCAGTGACACATGTAAGGAGACAGACAGGCTTTAACTCAAAGAAAAGGCCCGGCTCCAGTGTCCACAGGGAGGCCGGGTCGTCTCCGCCGAAGGCCCCGTGTGTGACAATGGAGGTCAGCCCGCGCCAGTGGCAGGACAATCTTTAGCCCTCGCCCTAGTTCTGAGACCTACACTGAATGTTCCGTTGTTTTTGTAGCCAACAAAAATGCTATAAAACACACAAAACAAATGAGAAATGTCGCTGAAATGGCAAAAAGAATATTTCATATTCTGTCAAAGTAAAACATATTTTAAGAACCCTTTACTGAATAATCAATGGCATGCCTGCATTACAAAAATTAAGTAGTCAATCATTACTAAACATGAAGAAAATAACATAAACGACTGTTCTAGCCCAGGCTGGGTAGCTCAGTTGGTTAGCATGTGATCCCCACATGTCAAGGCTGCGGGTTCGATCCCTGGTCAGGGCACATTCAAGAATCACCCGATGAATGCATGAGTAAGTGGAACGAGTCCCTGTTTCCCTCTCTCTCCCTGCCTATTTCTCTCTAAAAGTAAATAATTTAAAATTATTCTAAAAGTATGATTAGCATTTAAAACAAAATCTCCTATACTCGAAAGACTTTAATAATGGTTTATACATTTCTATTAAGCATTACCAAATCTAGCCTTGGAAAAGTCTATCTTGGGCATCATTCCATGAAGCAAAATGTATATATACAAAAGATTCTCTTAACTAAGTTTTTATATCACAATTTAACCTATGGACCACTGCCCTGAAAACTCAATGTAACTCAGTGTAGAAGCCTTAACTTACAGAAGTCTTTTGAATGCTCTAATTTTAAGTTTTTCAAAATGATGACAATCCTGTATTGGTTACTTAAAACATCAGGACCCATGATAGCATTAGTAATTCTCAATGTCTCCGAACAAAGACATTTTAGTTCACATTTAAAATGTAACTTAGCATGTCTAACCACTAAGACATACTTTTGATCATCGTCCTCACATTCATCCAGTATCATCACCCAATTAATACACTTGGTCACTTTAGCAATAAACTCAGGATCATGCTATGCAGGATATAAATTTCTAGCAATTCAGAGTTTTCAGAGTTTAGTAGTTTAGTACAGACATGTCCACAGTTAGTTTACAACCCCCAAACCAAACCAAACGGAACGCGCTACCTCGCAGCTTCTCCACGGACTCGAGGCGGTCTCCCCACTGTCCCGGAGCTCCGGCATGAAAGAGGTCAGGGCTGTGGCGCTCCCCTGTGTTGCAGACGGTCCGGTCTTCCCTGAGAAAGAGGACACCCCATTTGTACTAAGGTGGGGACTACTTCTGTTGAAACATAAATAATTCAAATGGTTTTCTTCATTCTACCAACGAGTTGAATAATTCAGCAGTTCGAGATTTAGCAGAGCAGTACAAAACCACGGACATTTAATCCTTCTTAATGGCATCTCGTTTGTTGAAAATCTGATCCCAGGTTTGTCCACAAAAGAAAAATAGCAGTAAAAAGACAGGCAGCATTTAATTTTTTTCAAGAACACAACAGAAAGGCCTTTTTCAACAGTGAGAGACCACTCGGAAGTACCAACAGAAAATAAAAGTTTCTGCTAAGTAATAAGTAACACCTCCAGCGTCGGGGACCTGAATTACCACCGGGATTACTTACTCCACTGTAAGGGCAGCTCTTTATGGGCAGGGAGATCCTCTCACTGCCCAGAAAGACGGCCAGTCTTGTTAATTGGATCCTCTAATTGGGTGTGATAAGCCGATGCTTATCTCCACACACCTTTGAATAAAAGTTGTGCCAAGCAAATTAGAAGCAAATATCTAGGATGAATTGGGCCTATTCAGTGTGTAAAATACCGCTGATTCTTTCCAGAACTTTTTTATAAAAGCACAAGAAGCATTAAAGGACATAAAAGTATAAGGACATTAAAATTTATTTAAATTCCATGTTCATTTCTTTATTGATACTGTTTCACAAGGAATTTGTAAGAGAGTGGACACTAATGAGAATAACAGCAACTCAGAATGAGGATCCAGGAAAATATCCATAAAAACTTCAGGGGAAGAAGGGCGGAATATGTTGCCCATGAGAGGTTTATATTGATCAAGTTTAATTTTGGCCAGTTTAACTGCAGTCACAGTGAAAAGGGAGGCAAGTCCTGTTCCACTTTTCGTTAGAAAGGAACACTTAGGTTCCTCCCAGCAACCTCGAGGTTCTAAAAGGGTTTTCTCCTAGACACGGGCTTCCAAGGACCCAGCAAGCAACACAGGACGCAAAACTGTGGCCACCTTTCAGCAAGGGGGTCTGGGTGGCCTCCACGGGCATCCCTCCTGGGCCATTTCCCACATCTGTTCCCCACCTTTAATTTACCCTCCTCCTTTTAGTTTACATATTTTTTGTAAGCTGCCTTAAGCTCCTCCTGAGGAAGGCAGAGAATGAACAAGTCTTTAAACAAATTTATAATACACCATTTCTTTTTCTTAAAGTTTTTCTATTGTTATTCTATTACAGTTGTCCCCACTTTTCACCCTTTGCACTCATCCCACCCCCTGCTCCCTCAGTCAGTTCCCACGATATTGTCCGAGTCTGTGGGTCATTCACACATGCTCTTTGTCTAGCCCCCCCCCCATCACTATTAGTCTGCTCCACGTTCCCATGCCTGTGGTTCTATTTTGCTCATTAGCTACTTTTGTCCGGGAGAGCCCTCCTAGGGTGAGATCAGATGGTACTTGCCTGTCACTGATGTAGCGGGATTTCTTCAAGACCTACTGTGTGCAGAGGCATTTGCCCCTTTACCAGGGAGCCCCAGACTGCTGTTTCCGCTTTATTGTGCCTGCTTTTTATAGCTGACTTCCTTGAATAGTACCTGCCTCTCTGCTGTTTTTAAGCTGCTGTAAATTTAGAAACTAAATAATCAAGCTTGTCACACTATGTACAAAATCAGAATAAACAGGCACTGATTAAAAACAAACCAAACGTGTTATAGTTTAAAAAGAAATGGCCCTGGCTGGTGTGGCTCAGTGGACTGAGCACCAGCCTGTGAACCAAAGAGTAGCCAGTTTGATTCCCAGTCAGGGCAAGTGCCTGGGTAGCAGGCCAGGTCCCCAGTGAGGGCCACGTGAGAGGCAACCATACACTTATGTTTCTCTTTCTCCCTCCCTTCCCCTCTCTTTAAAAATAAATAAATAAAATCTTTTTAAAAAATGAACTGTTTGACAGCATCTACTTTTCAACTTAGTCTGTTTTTTGTTTTTTTGTTTTTTTGTTTACTTTCTGGCATTCAACTTTAATTGCTACTTTCCAGACTGGTGAGCTAGTTCTGCAATAGTAAACATTATTTGTCTTGTTAACTTACAAATGCAGAAACAACATTTAGGCAACTAAGTTTTTTAAATATTCTTGTAATTTGCTGAAAACAAAAAAAGTGTAAGAACAGTACAGCTGGCAAAAACAAGTCCTTGTTCACAATAATCCCCATGAGAAAGTACACACCTCTGGCAGAAATTTAAAAAACCTGGGAGGGCTTAAACTCTTCTTACCTGTCCCTCAACAGTTCCTGATTATGGTTGTTTATTTTGTTTGTTTGTTTTTAATGCAAATCAGTAACTATGACATTATTTGAATAAATTGGTAATCCATGCAAATAAATTTATACTGACTTGTTAATACAGTTTAAAAAATCTAAAAAAAAAAAAAAATCTATCCCATTCTTACCTATTAGTATTTAAGTTCAGTCCAAGAGAGGAGGGAGAATTTTTTATATCAAATTCTACAGAAGATGAAGTTTTTTGTAAGGGTTTCACTGAGTCAAAATCTTCCATAGCGTACAGAAACTGTTACGCTCTCTTATTTGAAACTGTAGCTTCTTTCACCCGTTGAAGAAACTGAATCCGCGTCATCTTCAGAGGCTTCGTCGTCTACAAGCATTTTCAGTTGCCAACATTCAGAACTGGGTAATGTCCTAAGCTCCCAAGAGTCTGAAAATGAATGGGGGGAAAAGGTACTACTGAAAAGCCACTAAACCTGGCAAATGTCTTCTTGTCATGATTTTGGAGGCCTTGACCTCATCATGGAAGCGCCATTAAGGAGCACAGCAGCATTCCTGATGGCCAACATGCAGAAACAACCCGAATGTCCGCCAGCTGATGGCTGGGTGAACACGTGGTGAATCCACATAAAGGGACTTTTTCCAGCCATAAAAAGAAATGAAATACTAACAAAAAAGTAAGAATGAAATGAAGTGCGGAGGCATGCTACAACATGGATCAACACGCTACAATGTGAAAATTCTGGAATAAGAGAGTGGTGGTAGTTGTACAACTCTGGAAATACACTAAGAACTAACGAGTCGTATACTTTAAGAAAATGAATGTTATGATATGTGAACAAGATCTCAATTTTAAAATCTACAATAAGGTGATTTGCAAAACAGCATCATCTTTGCCAGGTAATATTACAGAATTGTATGTGTTTAATAATCAAGGTTCTAGACACAGTGTTACTAAGTAACCTTTGGAATACTCACATGCCTTGTCCGTTTAATGAATTCTTGCCTGTTGGTTTATATACAGTGAACAGTCGAAGGGGAACTACTTAGAATCTAATTTGGAATTGAAAACAGCCAGTTAAAGCCCTGGCTGGTGTAGCTCAGTCGAGTGAGCGCGGGCCTGCAAACCAAAGGATCACGGTTCGATTCTCAGTCTGGGCACATGCCTGGGTTGTAGGCCAGTTCCCAGCAGGGGACACACAAGAGGCAACCACACATTGATGTTTCTCTCCCTCTCTCCTTCCCTTCCCCTCTAAAGATAGATAAATAAAATCTTTTTAAAAAAGAAAGAAAACAGCCAGTTAAACTGTTAACCATGGTTGTTTCCCTCTGTTGGGAGATGGTGGCGAAAGGAGTTCATTTGCACGGCACAGCCTTTTGTACTGAGTGCACATGTTACTTCTTTAAAAATAAACTATTTGCCAGATCCACAAAAACTGAACTGATGCTAGGTATACACAGGCATTTTGGCTTTAACAATACACCCCCTTCTTAGGAAATTCATTTTAAAGATTTTTTTAAAGCAACAGAAAAAGGAAACCTACGATGCTTACAAAATGGGAAGTTCAGAGAATGAAATAGAGAAAAAATGATCTACTATTCTGGTTCCTCCAGGTCCCCACTTGCTAGGGCCTGGTTTTACAAAGCACGACTCTGAAACCAGCGTCTCATAAAGGACCCACGGCCCTCGGGGACAGGTGTGAGAGCCAAGGGTAACCGGACCTAACTCAATGGGTTCCTCCCCAGCGGCTTCAGCCCATCGCCCACGACAAATGGGGTATTGAAAACGTCGGGAGCTGCACCTTCCAACTGGCAACGAAAATGCCTGGATTCAAGTCACCTTGCTCTTCTACCAGAAAAGCCAAAGCTCTCTAGGGACGAGGACCCGCCACCCATCTCTTCTTTCCCAGATGAGATCATCCGGATGCACGGGATCCAGGCGGAAAACCACTTTAAACGCAGTGAGGTCTCTCGGGGTGGGGGGGTGGGGAGGCTTGAAGGGATGGGGAAATGTGAGAAAAAAAAATGTTTTTTAAAGAAGATTTCACGGAGGTAAGTAGAAGCACAGACACGTTTTTATAGCTCATGGCAACAAAATATGACACTTTTGGTCCCCATTCCCACTAGTTTAAAAAAAAAAGGAGTTGGGGGGGAAAGGCAACGGCTGGTCGGGGTCTGCTGCCGCTAAGTTAGCGTGCAGCTTTGCTTTCTTTGCTGGGAGGCTGCTGGGGGAGGAAGAGCCGATTTCAGAGGTTTGGAGGCCAGCCCTCGGCTACTGGTGCGGGCTCTCGGGTCAAGGCGACACGGCTAGGAGAACTCACGCAGTCGCCTGGCTGGTGGACCGCACAGAAGCCACCGTCCCACTAACTACTGTCTTGATTGCTAAAGTGAGCACCAGCAACTCCTCAAAAAAAAAAAGGGGGGGGGAGATCCCACAAGACCCCCGCCCCTCGGGGAGAGACGCTCTGCGATTGGGCCCCGCGGGTGTCACTCAAGGGCACCGACTCCAGAAAAGGCGGACGGCCGCAGGCAAAGCCCCCACACGCCTGAGGACTGTGGGAGGGTAGGTGGTGTGGCGGCCGTCTTCCTCGCCCTAGCCCATCAGTCCACTCAGGGCTCCTCTAAGGTCGTGTCTTCTAAGTCTCGTCCCCCGTCCCCCGAGACCGGCAGTTCCCGCAAGCGAACGGCCGCTTACCTGGCCGCTGTTTCAATTCAGGGTCGGGCGAGCGGCCTCTCGCGACCGTTAAACTTAGGGGAGCGTGCGCGCGCCCGGCGCCTTGCCTACGATTGGCTGTTCGGAAGGGGGCGGAGACGACCAGACCGCGGCGAGCGTCCCCACCTCTTTCCTCCTGGGCTCCGGCAAAAGAGGAAAGTTCGACGCGGGGGTGGAAAAAGGGAGGGGCGGGGCTTGTGTCAAATCCTCTAGTCTGATTGGCTGTCTCGCTGCCGGACCGCTGCCACGCGGGAAAGAACCTTCAGGTTCCCGCATGCGCAGTTCGTAAGAATGGGCCTCCCACTAGTGAGGGAACCCGCACCTGGAATACGGCGCGTGCGCGCAGATCGGTGTTCTTCGTTGATTCTGGTTCCCCGTAGAATTTTGGGGGCGGAGGCCAGTCCTAGGGCCAGGTAAGTGTCTGCGGAGAAACCAGGCACCCCGCTGGTTGCTCACGATTGGCAAGGGCTCTGGAGAGGAGACTGGGGGATCCGGACGCCTTGAGTGTCCCAGTTTGAGTCCCTGAGTCGCACAACCAACTGATCGGGGGCCCTGCTGGCGGTGGCGTGAAGCCGGTCCAGAGGTCTGAGCTCAGTTGTCCCTGGACCTGGGTTACCCTAAGCTGCTAGGGGTCGGCCCTGGGGCTCTTCGAGGACTGGAGTGGGGGCGGGAGAGGAAAGCGCAGGGCCCTGGAGAAAACAGCTCCCACCGACATCGAGGACGAATGCAACGATCCTTGGGGACTTGTTCAGAGGAGCCTTCCGGCGCCCTCGGCACGCGGCAGGGTTGATTTAGGCCTGGCACGCAGTAGGTGTCGGCACTGCCCTTGCCAGGTCTTTCGAAGGACTGCAGAGACTCCGTGTCCCTCCCTGTGGGCCCCTAGCCCATCTCATTCGCTCTGCTCAGTCCCCTTGCTTCAAACTAGTTCACCTTTTAATTACTTCCAGCTTGGCCTATCACTTAAATGCGCCTGGGCCACCTAAGCAAAGTCGAATTATTTTGGCATACATGGCTGTTTTCAGGGACCATATTTCATATCCACCTTCACTAGAACTATACCTGTGCAGTTTTAGCATTAGTTTCAGTTGACCACAAATTCAATTGTTTGAGACAATACAGACAGAATGGTCAGTCACAGCAGTGTGAATTCCTGAGACAGCACATGCGGGAAAGGTGTTTTCTTACAAGAAAAATATTAACCCCTAAAGTGGATGGTAAGAGTGGTTAGTTCTTTAACCCTGCATCAGACAGATGGGTCATTGCTTTGGCTACATTTAGATACCTTTTTTAGCTGTTACTGTCTTAATAATAAGCTAGTAGTATTCTGATTAACCTAACTGGTTAACCGTTATTTTGTTAACCAGTTGATGCAGTGAAATATTTTGGTATGGTCTTAACACCATTTGTCTTAACTTAGGTTAAGCTTTTTGGTAGGGTCTAAATTTTTTTTTTTTAAATCAAAGTGGAAATTGGGCAAGAGAGAAAAAAATACCTTTTTTAAAGTGTTATAAACAGCTAAAAAGGTAGTTTTTCAAGTCTATAGAAATTATGATTCTAGAAAACAGATGTAGAAAGCTTCAGGAATTCCCACAAATGTATTAAATATAAATGTTCATCTAATCTAAACGTAACCCCCATGCTGGAGATTTTATGCTACTTGTATGGCCATGTGAGGGTATGGTTACCATTTGATTTTATCGTAATACCAAATTGCCCAAGTATCTCCCTTTTGTCTTGGTCTTCGCATTGACAGCTTTATAGCAGAGATCTTTCACATTGATTGGGACAAGTTTAAGCTGTCCAATTAGAGTAGCTGCTCTTGGCTTAAGAAATTTAGTGTCTCTTAACCAAATAAAGAAATTTAGAGTGTTACTTTGTTTCATTGATTTTTATATACAGTTTGTCATTTGGGAGAGCAGTTCCCTGCAGCAAAAGATGAGGAGTTCTAAGACTTTCAAGCTGTAGTTTAATTATTAAGTATAGGAACTCTGGCTGAATAGCTCAGTGGGTCAGAGCATCATCCTGACACACCAAAGGTTGCGGGTTCGATCCCCAGTTAGGGCTTATACAAGAATCAACCAACGAATGTGTGAATAAGTGGACCCACAAATTGATGTTTCTTCCCTGCCAAAATCCATAAATAAAAGGCTTTTTTTTAATGGAAGGAAATGATAGGTATACACTTGAATATGAATTTTTCCACCTTTCCTGGCTTTCATTAGATAGTTCCTAAGTACCTCTGTTTAAACCAGGGCTTGTTCAATGAAGCTGGTTTCGCTCTTTCCACTTGAATCTGCTGGGAAGTCAAGCTGTGTTATCGGCATCATAATTTGCTCTTCGGTACCTTTCACAGACCACAATTATGACCTCACCAAACACATCTTTGGTAATTTCAGGGTAGCCAGGTGCTTCTTAAATGGGGCCCTACCAAGTAAAATGTTTACTAGGTACTGTTCTGGGAGCCTTTTCTCTCTGAGCTCTAAGGCAGAAAGCCCATGAAGCCATCCGTTTGCACAGTGGGTTTGTGGGTAAGACCACAGCGCACGTGGTATGTCAAGAGGTTCCTGAGCTTTGTAGTTTAGGGATCGAAAGAGCTAATTGCTTTACATTTGTGGCCACACATGTGTTTTGGGGTTTTTTTTCCTCATCCTGGGTAGTATTACCTCCAATCTGCAGATGAGGAAAAGTGGCCAGAGGTGTGCAGTGGGTCAAGACATTGATGCAGGTCAGGCGGACCACAAAGCAGTGTGGTCTTCCAGGGACGGCAGCAGGAAAGGCCGAGTCAAGAAGAAGTTGAGAGAGTAAGGGGGTGGGGGGAGAACAGAGCTGGAGATGTTAGGGAAGGTAAAGGAACAAGCTGGAGAAAGGATGGAGTTACTTTCAAGACATGGACTGCTGCTCTTCCAAGATCAGTCTCTCGGAAGTAACCCACATGGGAGTATGCCTCGCTTTCTTTGTACCAAGACAAACACATGGCATCATTATGCTAACAGAGGCTGGAGACTTAGGAGAAAATAGAGTGTTGTTATTGCTACTTTTTGTGTAGTTCTGACTTTAATCGTGTAGGTGATAAGTTACAAAGTTCCTGTTAGGTGCCATAAATAGGACAGGTGTAATTCCCTGTGGATTCAGAGTTTTCTGTTTAAAAAAAAAAAAAAGGAACGGGATGTTGTAACCACACAAATTGAAAGCTTTTCTCTTCTACTTCCTTGTTGTCTTCATCTGCTTCCTTGTCTCTTGAACGGGGTAGCAGTAAGCCTATTAAATTCAGACAGACCCAGAGCAGTCTCCTCTTCCTCTTTCCCCCCAAGTCCAAGGTGACAGCTCTGCCCTCCCGGTTCAATCTGTGCTGCTCGTTTTCTTTGAGAAGGAAATCTCTGAACATTTATTACTGTGGGTGAAAGGTGCTGTGCCCCCCCAGCCTAGGAAAGGACGAGGTCTGTTTCAGGCCCGAGCCCCATCCCCCGGGGCTTCCATTTTGGGGGGTGTTTGGCTCTCATGAGGATTTCAGAGGGCGAGCAAGGGAGGATGAGCTGGTGAAAGGCAGAGGGCGGCTGCCTTATTTTCACTCCCATTCTGCAAGGAGCCCCAGAACACACTTTGGAAACATGAATTATTATTAAGCGTTTGCCAGGACACCCTCCTCCTCTCGCTTAGCTTCTGGTGCCGTCAGCTGGCTGTTGTGACTTTGTAGGGCTGCGAGAGCCGGTCCGTTCGGGCCGGAGTTTGGCCCTGCACTGCTGGTGAGGGCATCCTTGTGATATGTCCTCGTGGGGGAGGGGAAAAAAGACGTAGCAGCAATCAGCACTCCAGAATTCTGGACTCGGCTTCTTATGTATTATAAACATAAGAAATATAAGAAACCACAGCTTCCAAACGTGTCTGTCCAAGCAACCGGAAGGACTTCTCATTCCTGTGACAGAGCTTCTCGACCCTGGGGGATGCCTCTGAGCAGCAGCTGAGGGTCTTCCTGAACACAGGTTCTCCCTCAGGTTGGGGGCAGGGCTGGGGAGTCTCCATTCCTGAGCAGCTCCCCAGTGGCACTCGCCGTGGCTGCTGCTTCCAGTACCCTAGCCACCAGCACGCGTGGCTAGTCCACACTGACCGTGTTGTCAGCGTCAATGCACCCCAGAGCTTGCATACTGGGGTAAAAAAGTAACTTAAGAAATGCATCTGTTTGACCTGGGGCCCTTCCCGTGGCTGCTAAGGTTCCAGCGCAGATGCAAGAAAAAAGGGTCGCCCACCGTGCCATCTGTCCAAGTGTGGCAGCCGGGGCGGGGGAGTGAGAAAGTGAATTATAAAGATCTCAGTGGCTTTTCTATTGATTACATGCAGAAATAATATTTTGGGATATATTTGGGTAAATATGTTAAAATGTTAAATATCTATTTAATGTATTAAAATTAGTTTCCTCAGTCTCTTTTTTACTACTGTTTCCCTCTTTTTAATGTGACTCCTGGAAAATGTGGAATCTCACACGTGGCTTGCATTCTGCCTGTGTGGGACAATGCCCTTCTAGAACATCACTGCAATAGAAGCCAGAGCTTGGGGTGTTCTTTTTCAGATGACCCCATTTCACGATCCCCTTTTACTGTCTCACCTTCTCTGTTCACCCAAATCTGCGTGCGCATCGTTCTTTTCCCTGCACGTTGTCACCCCTACCCCCTCCATGTCTGGCTCCAGCATCCGGGTCCCGGGCTCCCACCCAGCCGCACACTCATCCTTGCTCAGAGCCCGTCGCTGTGGCCCCGAGTGGGCGGCTGGGCTGGCGGCAGCAGCCTCCCCTGGGAGGTGGTCAGGAAGCGTCCCAGGCCCTGGGGACCCAGCGTCCCACTTATCTCACACGGTCCCCAGGGGATGCATCTCGTCTGCCCGGGGAAGGGTGCCCTGTGGGAGCTTTAGCGCCCTCCCTAAAGCCCCCATTTCGGTCCCTCTCCATCAGTCTGTCTCCACGCCTGTTTCTCCGCTAGGTTTTGATGATGTTGGTTTTCATGACGTTTCTGCAGGGTGGTGTGCCATGCAAGTTGTGTGTGGCTAAGAGAAACTTGTACTCCTCCCTTTCTAAAAAAATAGTTACACAGTGGGTTTTGGGCAAATGACGTCCAGAAGGCAAGTCCAGAGAGGGAGGTGCTGCGCCTTCCTGCAGGTGGTTCCAACAGCCACTGTGGCTCAGGCCCCCGGGGAGGCCCCCGTCCCCCTTTGCCGCGCTCCAGAGCACTCGGGCTGCCAGTGGGGCCAGCCTCACTGACTGGTTTAAATTGGTGACTGTTTGCCCTAGTCACAGCCACGGACTTCTGTCCCACCGGGTGCCCGCCTAGGTCTGGGGCACCCCATGCAGAGGCCCAAGGAGGGAATGCCAGCCAGACCCAAGTCAGGAAGAGGGGCCCTGGTAGAGGCGGGTTCCAAGTCCCCACTGCAGGCCCTTCAGGTGACCGGGGACCACAGAGCCTGGGCCACAGCTGTGGAGCAGGTCCCCCACTCTGGTCTGTGGCCTGTGTCACACTTACAGACAGACATTGCAGCTTCGGTCTTCCGCCCCCGGCTCCCTGGGTGCCTGGGGCCAGGCCCAGCTCGTACTCAGTGTTGGAAATACTGCACACGCCTGGTGCCTGTTGTGTGTGTGGGAAGGGCCTCGGACAGCGCGGGGCTGTGACCTCAACCGCACCAGTGCTTAGTGCAGGAAGTGGGGGTGCGAGCCAGCCCTGAGCGCCGCCCCCCTCCCAGAAAGGAATTAGAGCAGAGCGCCAGTGCCTCGCTAGTTTCCCCTTACTCACGCTTCTGGGTCCCTTTTTTTTTTTAATGTCACAATGAGCTCTCATTTCAAGCGCTTATTGTTCCCCAAAGACTTCGGGCTGCTCTGTGGGTATCACAAAAACTGAAACCCAACCCCAGTCCTCCCTGCGCTTTGGGGAAGTGGGGCCGCGGGTGTGTCTGTCATTGGTAGATGTCACTGGCGTAGAGCCAGAGCTCCGGGAGATACTAAAAGTATTTGGGACCGTCCGATTGGCTGTTGGAATTCGCTGGTAGACAAAGCAGCCAGTCACTGAACACGGGGACCTGCCTGGACACCGGGTGGGTGGCAGCTCCTCCAGTGCATGTCAGCTCTGAAGTAGGACAGGGGTAGGGTTGGAGACGCACTGGGCCGATGACAAAGCAGCCGCTGAAAGCGCCCTCCTCCCCGCCCTTTGTCTGGGGGTTTCGCCCGTCTCAGACCTGCTTCCTTCCTTTGTCACCGGGCTGCAGCCCGTGCTGCCCTGCCTGGTCGGATTCACCAGCTAACGGAAGAGAAACCGCAGGAGAGGGGTGGGCCGGCCTTCCCCGATGAATCCTATCCAGGGGCTGGGCGCTGTCCGGTGCCCACGGGAATTTTGTTCTGGGGATGCGGGAAGCAGATTCGAGGCGGGGAAGGGAGGCCCTGGGCGGGCACACGGGCGTTTGCCGGGCAGTGGAGCCTTTGCCGCGGCGACCCCGGGGAAAGTGTGTCGGCCTTCGTTCCTGAGGATACTTACTTCTGAAGCATTTCTCACACAATAAACCAAAGCCGTATTCTAAGTGCCATTCTCGTGCACACACTGCTTCTAAACATCTCTCTTCCCAACCAGGGAGCACCTGGCTGCACCGCCGTGACTGCCGCCCACCGGGGCTGCCACCGTGCTGCATGTCAGGCCGGTGGCAGAGACGGCGTGAGGTCAGACCACGTGTCAGTCACAGAACCGAGGATGTAGCAGGGAGAGGAAACTGCTTGCTGCATTGTCCTCCTAACATTGGCCGGTGTCTTCTCGGCGTCAGCTGTGCCGACGACTGAGACATTTGGCTTTGGAATCCCAGGAAAGGCACAGGCTTGCTCGGAAACCACCCCGACTCGCATGCCGGTGTTGGCTTCCCCGGCGCTTCCCCGAGGTCGGGGTGGGCGGTGGGTACCTGGGTGGAGGGCAAGCCTGGGGCCATCGTTTTGTGAGTGTTCAGTTCACTCAGGAAGCTGGCTTGGTGGGACTCCAGTGCCCTGTTAGAGGCCGGCTGCCAGGAGCTCCAGTTCAGCAGATTTTGAATGGAAGCAGCAGCTATTTAGAGCCACGCAGGCTGAACAGAGTGGTGTCTGCTTCGGTGCCCGCGCAGTCGTCCATCAAGAAGTGCAACCGAGTGGCATGCTCACGGTTCCCATAATCCCCTGGGTGACAGGGACTTTGCTAAAAACCAGTCGTGCACCTTCAAAGGCGTTAACAAAAGCCCCTTCCAGAACACATCCCCCCCTGAGCTGTAAGCCAATCTGGGGGGGGTGGAGAAGGGCCCCCACCCATTCAGTCTGGGGATGAGAGGAGGCCCAGGCTGTGGCTCGCCCCACCCACATGCGATCGTTGACACGTGACGCCTTTCGGGTCCTGCTGCCTCCCTGCCCCTGGTGGGAAGCAGGGCCGTGGGCCCAGCCCCAGGCGCTGCCACGCCCTGCACCGTTCGCTTGCCAGCCAGAACCTGGTCCTGCCCCTGCTGGGCCTCAAGTCCTTACTGAGACCTCATTATTGATTATCACTCTTTTTTACTGTTTTCTCTCTCTGACCACACTGAGCTCCGTGAAGACAGGGTCTAGCTCTTTCTGACCTCTCGAGTCTCACAAAACACCTTACCTGGGGTTTCCACGCACCAGGCACCTTAATAAAAGGCAGCTGGCTTGGTGGTTCCGACGCTTCCCTGTTGGACCACATTATTGGCTGTATGGCTAAGGGGACAGATGTTCCTATTCAAGCCCAGGAAATGGGAAACACTGAAAACAACAGTCACGACACTGACTGACAGCGACAGTCACCGTGTCAGACTGCGAGTCTCAGCCGCCTCCATCTCGCGGCGCACGTGAACTAATGACTAAAATTCTGCGGTTCACCAAAAATGTATCTTTCTGCAGATCTGACAGTAAGCATACTTTTTGATTCCTTCACACTGGATGGCTGTGGTCGTTTTTTATTTAACAGCCTATGAGAACGAGGTCAGGGCCCCTGACTGGCCAGCCAGGTGCCGTGTGTTTTAAACTTCTCAGGGCGCAGCGGTGGGAAGTCGCCGAGACAGACGACTGCCCTCTGCTACGGCCTTTGCCTTTGGCTTTGAGACACTCCCAGCGTTCAGACAACGGCACTGGCCTCAGACCCCAGTTCATGCCTGATGTGCTCTTCAGTGCTTATCAAATGTCAGCCCTGTCCTTTGGAATGTCACCCTCCAAACCTCTTCCTCATGAGAAAACAGCACCTGTGGGTGCTTTGGAGATATTTTCAGTCTGTGGTAAGGAAATACTGACCAGTGGCAGGGCGCGTACCACTGTCCCGGCAGCGATGCTGCGGACAGGCGTGTGCGACCAAATGACCCTCCCCCAGAGCTGGGCGCTCGCCCCCCGAGCTGCCGTGGCAAAGGCTGTCCTTCTGTCTGGTGCAGGTGCTGGACACGCAGACCCTCTCCGTCCATGAGCGCCCTGGGTCGGTTTCGCCTTCCTACACCCTTGACCAGGATGGACCCCGGGCCATGGGGACGCCGGCTGGCAGCACTGTTGTCCCCAGGAGTGGGGGTGGCTGCAGTCCAGGTGGCAGGCAAGAAGGACCGCCCTGCTCTGCTTCCTCTGGACGAAGGTGAACTTGAAGAGCAGTTTGTGAAGGGACATGGTCCCGGGGGCCAGGCAACCAACAAGACCAGCAACTGCGTGGTGCTGAAGCACATCCCCTCAGGCCTGGTGGTCAAGGTAGAGGAAGAGCAGCCCGGGGGCGGGGGCTGCATGCATCAAGGGCACTGCACGTCCTGTCCCCTGCCCTGAGGCGTCCTCCCGGAGGCAGAGCGTCCTCCCAGGGTCCCCGGAGCCGGGTTCTTGCCGCCCTCCTTTAACCCGGTGGGCAGTGCAGTTTCTGCACAGCCTTGGCAGCTGGTGGCCACAGCATTACCAGGGCGCCAGGTCCCTGATGTCTGCCTGCAGCCTCAGCCCTTAGTGACCTGGCTGGTTGACCAGGATGGTCAAGTCCTCCGTGTCCCTCTGCCCCTCTTTGGCAAGTGGCCGTGACGCCCACCCATCTGAGCGTGAGGTCAGGGGGAGACCCCATTTTCCGTGCTTAGAAGCAGAATGCCACGCGCTGCGCCCGTCAGTCTTCCTTCTCTTGATAAAAAACCACACTCTGATCGGAGCCTCACCGGCTGTTGGCGCGGCCTGAACCTCTGAACGGCGGTGTGCTCGCTCCTGTCTCGCTGCTCCCGGCCGTGCCGGGGGGCCTGAGAGGCAGCTGGTCCCTGAGCAACTCCACAGGCGAGGCCGCCGGTCCCCAGGAGCCCAGCTCCCCTCCACGGCGGAGAGGCAGCGAGCAGCGGGAGGCACGGGGAGGTCAAGTCACTGCCCGGGCTCCCCGTGAAGGGCCAGCCTAGATCACCCACGGCCGAGTTCCTGACCCCACTCTGCACGGCCGGCTCTGCTCTCCGAGCCCAGGGCACATCACTTAAAGTCCCAACCACTTTCCTCTTCCTGCTTGAAAAAGTGTCGTTCCCGAGCAACAGGTAAAACTCTGAAGCCCAACCTAGTTTTTGTTTCATGTAACTTACTCCAAACACGCACCCCGAGTGCACAGAAGTCCCCTCCCCCTGGAGTCCTGCAAGGAAGGCAGGTAGGTGCCCCTGGCACTGAGGCCTCACACACGGGTGCTGTGGTCGGCCACCTCGGGGAGCAGGGTTCCTCCCGACGGAACCTGCCCTTCCTTCCTGCACGCCCGGGGCTCGTTCTCGGCCACGAGCTGGGCACACCGGAAGGTGTTCTCAAAGCCATCTTGGGTAAATGATTTAGAGGCTGCCACTGCTGAATGAAACAAGTGAAAGCCACACAGGTGGGGGAGGGGTGGCTTCCCTTCTGTGGCGCGCACACACACACACACACCTCTGCAGTGCCCAGGGAGGTTAGCAACTCCGGGGTCGCGACCAGAGCACCCGTGGTCCTCACGTCACACCCTCTCTCTCCCCGGCAGTGCCATCAGACAAGGTCCGTCGATCAGAATAGGAAACTGGCTCGGAAAATCCTGCAGGAGAAGGTGGACATTTTCTACAACGGTGAGGACAGTCTTGCTCACAGAGAAAAACGTGAAGCAGAGAAGAAAAAGCAAGAGAGGAAAAAAAGAGCCAAGGAAACCCTGGAAAAAAAGAAACGACTGAAGGAACTCTGGGCGTCGAGTGCGCATGTCCGCGGGGGCACGCCAGGGGGCTCCGACTGAAGGGGGCTCCGACTGAATCGGCCTGCCGGTGCCACGGCGAGGCCCTCCGGCACCTGTGCCGTCTCCGGGCTGCGAAAGCCATTGTTTGGACAGGTGGGAAGGAAGGACGTCCGGGTTCTCGGAAAGGCAGGCTGAGGGGTGAGGCACCCAGAGGAGAGCGAAGCGCAAGGACCTCCCCACTGGGGGAGGACCAGGGCTGCTTCGGGGCGGAAAGGCTGAGTCCTGAGGAGCAGCCGTGGTGGCCGTCCTGCTCCTGATCTGGGCAGCAGGGACGAGGACGTCGCCTTGGTTTCTAAGCTGTGCATTTGTGTGATTGTATCTTATTTTATTCTCAAAGGTTAGAAATTAAAAAAAAATTAAGTGCAATTATTGCCCTGGCTGGCGTGGCTCCGAGGACGGAGCGGCAGCCTGGGAACGCGTCTCAGTCGGGGGCCGTGCCTGGGCTGCGGGCCAGGTCCCCAGCTGGGGGAGTGCAGGGGGCAGCTCACGGATGTTTCTCTCACACATCAGTGTCCCTCTGTCTGGAAACAAATAAAATCTTTAAAAAATAAAGAGAGAAAATTGTATTTTTTTAAAAAGTAGGACTATTAATAAGGTCCATTTTTATGAACTGTGAAATAGAGACAAACATAGCCTCTAGGGCCACCTTGTCGCCTGCTGGGAGGTCATTGTTCAGTGACCCTTGGGTGTCCATTAGCTTCATGTCAGCATAAGACAACAAGATGGCGAAGACTTGAGGTTATTAAGTTAGTTGCCCTATCGGCCGATTAGACCATGTGGCCAAGCAACCTCTCCGATGCGGACACCCAAGTACCATTCCCGTGTGTAGGCTTGAGTAGGTTTCTAAGAGGTAAGGTTCCAGAAACTCGATTTATGTGCTGATTTGCTCGGCACCATCACCATGTTTGCCCTTACCGTTCTGTGGGGTTGTTTTGGCAAGGTTAGTAGCCTGGCACGTTAGGACACTTCTCAAGTTCGCGTATAAACCAGGTGGGGTAACCGGAGAGGTGAGAAGGCCGCCGTGAGACACAGGGCCTCCCTCTCCTCTGCACCCAGAGAACTTTACCCTGTGGCAGCCAGTCACAGCTCGCACCTTGGCACGACCTGGTCCGGAAGGGTGAGTGCCCACGCGAGGCCCTCCACCCCCGGCCGCACTAGCAGGCCCTTCCCCACTCCGACCCGCACTCAGAAGGTCACCGGGGAAAGTGGCTGGAAAGGCACACAAGCAGCTGGTGAGGGTGGGAAAGCCGTGGACGGGAGAGACAGACGCTTCCGTTTCTGTCCCCTTTCTGGCACCTTTTTGAATCTCCTGTCACATGCATGACGGAGACAGACTAGCCCATAGACCTGTCACGGCTGAGACTGCCTCACGCCCGCAAAACCGCCCCCACCCCTTCACAAAGCGACTGCTCACCCCACGGAGAACGATGGTAAAAATTACCTCTCTCCTTTGGCTTCAGGCGGCACCCAAGGGGCTCACTTGAGTCTAGGGCCACGTGGCATGAAAAACAGACCCCTGTGGTGTCCCCAGGTGCTCACAGGGTAGACACCTCAAGACTGAAGAGCTCATGACTGTGGGGAGGGGGAGCAAAGGGCAGAGTCAGCAACCGTTTTCACCCCTGTCCTCGAGTTCTTTCCTGGAGGGCACTTTCGCTCACTGCAATTAAAAGGCACCATGACTTGACATCACTGGGCCCCTGGCCCCTGGCTCGGCAAACACTCCCTGGCACAGGGTGCCGGTCACACACCCAAGGTGCCGGTCACAAGGGAGGAGACCCACCTGTGACGGGTTCTCTGCCACCTCTGCTGAAGGAGCTGTTGGGTGAGACGCCCCTTGATTCAAGGAACCCACCTCTCAATACCAATTGTTAATGAAAATAAGCTTTATTACATCAAGTAATAAATACATACAAAGATGCAAACAGTGTTAGTCATTTTCTTCCTGATGTTTGGATCAACTTACAGGAAAAGGCGGGTCTGAAATCTACATACAGACTTAGGAAAAATTTCAGGGGTCCTTGCTAGGCGGGGTGTGGTAAGCTGCTCTTTCTTCTGTATTTATGACTTGTTCACCTTAAAAATGGACTTCAAAGCACTAATAGTCATGCAAATGCTTAAGCAAAAAAGAAGTTACGTGAAGCGGAATCTATGCTGGACGGCAAACGGGGACCGGCTACTCAAGCGTGCGGCAGTCAGTACGTACTACAAAGAAAACCCTCAGCGCTGTGTTAGCTCCGGAGGAGAAACCAAGAACGATCTGAGTAACATAAACGTCTTCAAAAAGAGAAACACTTGCATCTTGGAGCTGTGAGATGGGTAAGTGACGTGCGTCTTTTAACCAATGCTTTAAAAACCAAAAACAACGACACCACCCTGGCTAGTTCCTAACTAACGTGTAAATCCCAGTCGACTGCAACATCTCCTCCAGCTTAGCAACTTGTAGGTTCAGAGCCTAACGACCCACAGGAGGCGGCGCGGGAGGAGCAACGGAACTGTTACCATTTGCAAACAAGTTTCATCTGAACAGGGGAGAGGAACTGGAGCTTCTCAGGAGGGGACGACAGAGAGCCTTCTGTGCTGACCGGGCGGCTAGGACCTGGCGTTCCGCTCCGTTTCGGCCAAGCACTCTCGAACCAGCCCTCTCGCGTGGATGATGCCTGGAAGAGAAGGAGCAGACACTGCAGACCCTCCGGCAAGGGAAAGAGGGTCCTTTTCACAACCAGCCAGAAAGTCCTCACACTGGAAAGCAGCTCAGGACCGGCCTCCAAGCCTCCCAGTGGTTTGAAAGGCACCACCTCCCAGGGTTCTCCTTCCCTCCTAGAAAATCTCCCTGAAAACTCCCTCCTGCACTCAAGGTGACAGCCAGCAAGCTCTTCCTTCAAGACATGACTCTTGCCCTGGCCGGCGTGGCTCAGTGGATTGAGCTCGAGCCTGTGAACCAAAGGATTACAGTTCGGTTCCCAGTCAGGGCACATGCCCGGGTTGTAGGCCAGTTCCCAGCAGGGGACACACGAGAGGCAACCACACATTGATATTTCTCTCCCCCTCTCCTTCCCTTCCCCTCTAAAGATAAATAAATAAAATCTTTAAGAAAAAAAAAAAAGACATGACTCCTACTCCGACTGGCGTGGCTCAGGGGGTTGGGCATCTTCCAGCAAAAACAAAAGGTCACCAGTTTGATTCCTGGTCGGGGCACAAGCCTGGGTTGGGGGTCAGGTCCCCAGCTGGGGGCATGCACAAGGCAACCAATTGATGTTTGGTTCCCTCCCTCTCTAGAAATATAAAATCTCTTAAAAAAAAAAAAAAAAAGCAAGTAACTTGCTCCCCCAACTCCAACAGCGGCCGGGACCACTGCAATGCCCGCCTGACCCTGGCGACTGTCAGGGTCAGCTCCACGTTGCTCCAAAGCCCTCTTGGGTTCCGGCCTCTAACTGCCAGCCCCCCTTCCTCACACCCGTGCCCCTCGGTACCCAACCAGCTTCGCCATCGGTCCCCCCTCCGGGGGGCTCCTCCGAAACACCACAAAGTCACAGCCTGCGGGAGCCTGTCCCCAGCCAGCCCGGTCCACCCCTGGAGTCTCGGCCTTAACCGCAGCCCGACGGATGCCTCAGGTTCATGACCAAACAGTGCTCCTCTCTCGTTCTCCTCCAAAGCTGCTTCTCTCACCCTTTTAAGAACCCAGATCCCTCCTGAAACTGAGTTTGCACGTAGGTCTCTCTGCTCTGAGCTGCCATCTTCTAAAATAGAAATCCCTTCCTCCCCGTTTTACTTCACAAGGTAGCAAACTACTTCCCAACCTCCTGAAGTCAGCTGGTCGGTCACACCTTCCCATGAGTCACTTTTTTCCTATGACAGCAACCCCTCCCAGCATAAAGAACTTCACAGCTTTCCTGCCCCTCCCACCCCAAACTAGGACAGACCCCACCGCACACGAGGGCCCCGTGGGCCCCACAGCGGCCACAGGAAGGGAGCAGGCAGGGGACAGAGCTCCCGAGATTCCTCTTTAGAGCCGGCAGACTGTGCTGTGGCACCCAGGGCAAGGGGGGCGGGGCTCACTGGCTGGAGCAGCCCCGTCCCGTCGTGTCCCAAGTCCACCTCCCGGGGCCGCTCACCCCTGCCTGACGCCTCCACATCGGACAATGACTCTGTGACAAAGCGGGAGCCCCCGTGGCTTAGGGACCCCCCCACCCTCCACCCAAAACTCCCGAGAAGGCCCCGAGTGATGGCCGGTGCTTTGGGGTCCCCGTCGGACGCACCTCGTTTGAGTCTCTCCATTGCGCTCTTGCTGCCAGCGTACGTGGGCCGAATCTCCTTCCCCAGCTCTTCAATGATGGCCAGCAGCTCCGCATATTTGCTCTGAGGCACCTGGCTGCTCCCGGTTCCCTGGGATCAGAGGAGGGGTCAGGTGGAGGTGCACCAACCTGACGCCGCCCGGTCGGTGCCCCGGGGGCCAGGCACGTCCCCCCAGAGGGGCAGCCACAGAACAGGGAGGCCCTCTCCTGCCCTCACACCCCAGGAACCCACCCGGCCGGCTCTAGAAAGCTGTCATCGTCTTGGTGGCCAGTCCCGACAGGAGAGGCTCCACCAAGAATTTCCGAGGACCCAGAAGGAAGAGCAGGTATAACCCGAGCAAGGGCTGAGGGTGCAGAGCGCGTGGACGAGATACGGACCACACCTGGGGTCGGGCAGCTATCAACGTACATTCAAGGCCACACGGACATTCACCCGTCCTCCCCCACCAGCAGGGCCCCCACAGAAACCCGTAAGATCCCACTAACATCCTAAGCAAGCACCATGAGGCTGGGGTCCCCGTGGGCCTCTCTCTTTCCCCCCCCTCCTCTTCCTCTCCCACAGCCCCACCAGGGCCGCCCGAGCGAGGCCCTTGCCTGGTCCTCCCGCCTCCTCTGCTGCCTGGCCTCTCGGTCCTTCCTCCTCTCCCAGCCCAGCTCCAGGGCGGCCCGCCAGCACCGCCTCGGGGCCCTGTGCCCCTCGGCGCCCTGCTCCCGCCGCAGCCGCATGGCCAGGGCGTTGCGCCGCCTCTCCAGGCTGCGCCTCAGCCCATCCTCCCGCCGCCGCCGCTTCTTCAGGCGGTCCCGCTCCCGGGCCCGCGCTCGCTTCTCCTCCTGGGACAGGAGGGCCCGGCGGGGCATGGCCTGGGAGCCGCCAGCTCGTCCCAAAGGACAGCGCCCATGGCGACCTCAGAATGTGGCGAGTTCCGACCACGGGAAAGAATCTTGCAGCCAGCCGCCGTGGGTCTCACGTGGCACCACCATTGAAGTGGCTTCCTCTGTCCATGGGCCGGTGACCCCCCTACGTGGCAGTGAAAAAGCCACGTCTCGGCATGAATGCCAAGTGGGGGGTCACGGTCTCGAGTGGCAAACCCAAGCAGCCTGGCTCAGGGGCCACCAGCCCCTCATGATACGCATGGGGACTCTTATCAGAATGTGGGCCCCTCCCCGCTTTGCCAGGGCCGCCACCTTGTGGAGTGGGAATGGGAACCAGGTCCCCTCCCCTCTGGCCCAGTTCAGTTGCAGAGTCAAGGGCAGGTCTTCCCTCCCCAGGAATCAGGCCCGAGAAGACCCACCAGAGACAGACACGGGGTGGTGGCCCTTCAACAGGAACTGAAGCTCCTGGATCTCCGTCCTTCCCTGGGCTCTCCAACCCCGGTCCTAGCTCCCAGTGCGCCCCGTGAAACACCTTGCCATCCCTCTGTTGTGGTGCCTCAGGCCTCTACCCTGAGTCCAGCCAGGGCCTCGGTGGGAGGAAGCCCATCTGCTCCACCATGTCTACTCCTTCCTCTCTCCCACTGACTCCCCTCCCCTCCCGGAGGGTGGGACACATGCCCCCTCAGGGCTCGGGCCACCCCCGAGCCCCTTCCGCTGCACCTCACCCTCAACGCCATACCTGGGTGTAGCCGAGAGATGGTGGCCCGTAGTCACTCAGCAGCTGGCGGTACTGTGAGGACGTCGCCATGCTGGTGGAAGGCGGGTGGACGCTCCCAGCTGCAGGGGAGGAGAGAGGGGTCAAGGATCACAGGGCCTTGACCAGCGGGACCCAGGCCGAGGGCTCTAGATTCTGCAACAGGCCCTTGCCCAGGACCCTCCCCATTGACAGCGGCCCTTGCTCCTTGCAGGACAGAGAACCCTGCCTCTGTCTCTAGTTTGGCCTTGGCCCACCCTCCGCCTGATGACTGATAGGAACACGTAACTAACAGGCCACTGATCTTGACACCCACCACGCGGCAGGCATCACTAATCCATCACAGACCTCCTTCTCATTGGTGCTGAAGCTGTAACTTGCTGCTATTCTCAGCCTAACCCTGGCCAGGCCCCTTTTCCTGGGTCCTGCTCCCCTCGGGCTGGTAACCAAGCGCCACGACAGGCCGCCTGCTCTCAAGGCTGCTGCACAGCTGGGCTCAGTCTTCCTGTGCGCCCACACCTCTGCTGGACTACAGGGTCGAGGAGACAGGCAGCAGGTGGGGACCTGAGACCCAGCCGAGGCTGGGGGCTGGTGCGGTGGACACGCCCTCAGGCCCCTGGGGCACACCACAGCCTTGGTGTGTCCTCAGACCAGCCCCTCCCCAAAAGGGGGAACAGGACTCTCAACCGTCTGAGTCTATGCCCAGATGACTTGCACCCCAAGGGAGGGCTGGTCCTGCTTGTGGACTGCCGCACTCGGAGACAGCAAGGGACCACGTGGGGCCGGGCCCAGCCCAAACGGGGTCTCCCGAACGGGGGAGGAAAGGTCCTCGGCAGGGAGTTCTGCAGCCCCCACCCGGGTCCTGGAAGCACACAGGCCCGGCATGGCGTCCGAGTGGCCAGGCGTGGGGAAAGGATGTCCTGCGGAATCACAAACAGCGGTAACCATGGAGAATTTACCTAGCCCTCCTCAGCAGCTGCCCGCCTGCCTCCACGCCCGGCAGAGGAGCCGCTCCCCCGGCTGCCGCCCGCCGTGCCGAACGGCCTCACACACACGCACAACAGGCTCTGCAGACCTGGCCCCGGGGAGGGACAGCTGGTGCCAGGCTGGCCAAAGCGACCAGCTGCTCATCTGGTGTGGGCAAGGGGAGGGGCAGGGAGGAAGGAAGTTGGGAAGCTCAGGCTGATGGAGCGGGAAGCGGCCCTAGAGGACCCTGGGGCTCCTCCCTGCAGCAGGAGAAACGGACCAGAGAGGGCGGGCGAGGCTCCAGGCCACACAGCACAAAGCAGGCTAACACCCCAATGCCTGCCCCTGTGCCCCTCTGTCCAGGAGCCGGGGACAGCTCCGTACCTCCGGTGTCAGGCCCGCCCTGGACTTACCCACCGGGGTCCAGGACTATGCTCAAGCAGGACAGGCCAAGTCGGGACACATGGCACTGCCACCTCTGCGCTGGTGGTGACAACGCCCGGAGGGGCCGTGCTGCTCGGGATGGGGACCCACACCAGCATGTCACATATACGGTCCAGCCAAGGGCAGACGCGCCAGAGCACAGGAATCGGGGTGGAAAGGCCGCCCCCGCGGCCCCCCTCACACCCACCAAACCCCACTTCCTGCGTTTTCTGAAGGGGGCCCTGACAGTGGCCTGGGCAGCTGTGGCTTCGTGGCCCCAGCCCTGGGATCCAATCCTGAAGGCCACACACCACAACACCTCTCCAGAAGGCCAGGGAGCTGCCTGTGGGGCCTGGCCCAGGCTGTCCACAGCGCTTCCGGGCACCTAGAAGATTCCAGCTCCCTGGCAGAGGTGGGCTGGCACCTCCCACGCATTCCCCTGCCCTGTGCTTCCTGGGTGCTCTTCCCACTGGGTTTTGGCCTCCCTATCCCATCTTCTCGCCTACAGCCAACACCCGGCGGCTGTGTGGCCTTACCCCAGTCCCTTCCCTCTCTGGGCCTCAGTTTCCCCATCTGTCTGAGGTAGCGGTTCCCAACCCAGCATCTGAAGGCTCTAGGTTAGGTCCTGGGGGGCCAAGGGAGAGGCTGGCCACAGCTCAGGACAGGTGACCCCGACTGTGCGTCAGCGCCAGCCCCTACTTTGTGTTGAGAGGCGGGTGTCTGCAGCCCTGGAGAGTTGGCAAGGGCCCCGAGTTCCGTTCACGCCCGCTGCTTCCTGCAGACCCAGAGGGCCGGGCTGTACAAGGCCAGGGAGACCACCAGACTGGGCGTGAGCGCCACGGCTGGAGCAGAGCCTCGCAGACAATGCGCGCAGTGTGCGGGACCGGGAGGCCGCGGAGGGAGGGACTGGCAGAGGCCAGCAGCTCCTGGGGCCAGGCGCAGCTCCCCGCCCCCACCCCAGACAAAGAGCGGCCTGGGCCTGGGGAGCTGGCGGCCTTCCCGCCACTTGGGGCGCCTGGTGGGGGGGGCGCTTTCAGGCAGGCAGGCGGGGGCTTTGTCTACTCCGCCACTGCCACCGCCGGCCAGGCCGCGGCTTGGCAGCCCGTGCGCAGGAGGCAGGGCTGGAGGGCGTGAGGGATGATGACAAGGAAGCCAGAGGAGCGGCACTGGGGAGTCCATCTTGGATGCGAAAGGAGGGGGAGAAGAGGCTTTCTAAAGGGGTCCGCAGGGAGGGGGCGGCCCCCACCAGAATGCCCGAGGTGGGGGGGGAGCCTCAGTTCTCCTGGATTTCACTGCAGCAGAGGGAAAGAAACCTGTGCACAGGTGCTGGCCAGCCCAGAACAGGGCCTCAGGGTCCTGAGTGGCTGCCAGTCACTGTGACCCCAGTCCTCAAAGGTCCCCAGGCAGGGCCCCTGCCTCAGCTACCCCAAGGCAGGCCTGAGAGCTCCCACCCGCTGGGGCTGCAGAGACCCTCACCCGCCCTCCTCACACCACGGATAACAGACGTGGGAGCGAGTGGGCAAGGCTGCCCGCCTGAGGCCAGCCCCTCCGGGTCTGCAGACCCCAGAGCAGGTGAGGACATCTGAGGAAACAGTGCTGTTCGCTCTGGGGACCCCGGGACCACATCTGACGGATTCAACCGTCGTCCCCACACAAACACACACACCTTGAACCTTAACCCTTTCTTATCCCCCATTCTATATCCAAAAAGTTAAATACATATGTAGGCACATGCACGTGTATTGGTTTTTTGGGTCTCTCTGCAGATTTTTGGAGTTAAGGAGTCAACATTTGGAGACAAGGCCCAAACTCACGGCGAACTGCCAGCGTGGCATTTCTGACCAGCAGGGACCATCCCCTCCCCCCACCCAGGCTTCTGCCCCCTCCCCCCACCCAGGCGCCAGGGTTTTTGGGAACTGTTTCCACCAGAGCGTCTAAAGGAAAAGGACCCTGGTGAGGGAACAGAGCCGGCCTACAACGAAAGCCACCTTTTCTCACACACGCCCTCCCGGCCCCCTGGGGTCAGTCCCCAGGGAGAACCCGGGGGCAGAGCCTCAAGCTACCTGACAACTTCTGGAGGAGTTGCCCGGGCCGCCGGCTCCAGCCCGAGGTAGCCCCTCCCTACTTGTGCTGGAGGCGGCTCTAGGTTCAGATCTGCGGGTTCCGACGTGCGGAGCCCGGCTCAGATGCCCCCTACCTCCATACCCCTCTCCTGCAGGTACTCAGAGGCCACCCTCCGCCCGGTCCTCCCCAACTTCTTTCACTTGGCGCGCGCGCCAGAGGCGACCTCCCACGTGCCCTGTTCCGAGGACCCCTGCTTCCGCGCGCCAGGCTGAGCCCCCGCTAACCATTGAGTCCCCTGCACCGTGGGTAAATCCCCGTCCCCATTCAGCCACCCTGCAACCTCCAGGGGGGCTACACCTGGCACACCGCCGCCCCCAGCCCTGCCCAGGCTGGGCGGGCCTTGCACACGTGCACCCCGGCAGCCCGCCCCCCCCCCCCAGTCCCAGTCCGGGCCTGCACCCTCGCTCCCCACCGGCGGCGCCGGCCCCGCGCCCGGCACCCCGCTCCCGGCGCGCCGCGGCCCGGCCGCTCCCGACTCCCGCCGGCAGGGGCCCTCGCCGAGCCGCCCAAAAGCAGGAGGAAAAAGGAGCCGAGGAAAGCCTCCCCCGCCCTCGCCCGCCGCGCTCCCCGCGAGCCCTCGGCCGCCGGCGTGGGGGGGACCGCGGCGGCCGCCCGCGCCCGGGGCCCGGGCCCGGCCCAAGCCGCAGGCCCGGCGCCGCGCGGGGCGCACCCGCCAACTTTGGCAGCGCGGGCGCCGGAATCATGGCGGCGGCGGCCGCCGCGCTGCCCCGGGCCAGGACCCCGTGCCTGTCGCCCCCGGCCTCGCGGGCCCGCGGGAGCCCGGGCCAGGCGCGCGGGCCCCCAACTTGGCGACACTTGGGGCGCGGCGCGCGCGGCGGGCGGGGCGCACTCACCGGCGTTGAGGGAGGCGGCGGGCATGTGCGCGGTCAAGTTCGGTTTGTAAGACATCCCCCCGAGCGGCGGGGCGCGCGGGGCGCCGCGGGGCCCGGCCCGCGAGGCGGCGGCGGCGGCGAGGCCGGGCGGCGGCGAGGCGGGCCCGGGGTCCGTGCGCCCGTCCGTGCGCCCGCCGAGCTCCCGCGCACTTTTTGTTGTTGACGGCTCGGGCCGCACCGGCAAATATGGCCGTCCCTCACCCTGACACCGCCGCAGTATATCACCCATACATCGGGCGGGCGCAGGGGCGGCCGCAAACTTTGAGCCGAGCCAGCGGGGCCGGCCCGGGCCGGGAGGGGGCGGCCCGGCGTCAGGGGGCGGCTCCGCCCGCGGCCGCGCCCCGCGCCTCCCCGCGCGCTCGGCGCCGCAACTTGGCAAAGTTTGGGGGGCTGGGGTCCCGGCGGCGCCCGTGGCCCGCGTGGGTCCCTTTCTTCTTCTTCGCTTCCAGCGCCTGAAGATTTCTTATTTTAGCAATTTTTTTGTTGTTGTTTTTTTTAAATAGCAAGGTCGGATTTCGGAATTAGTTTTTTGTCCCCTTGACTGTGGGGGCAGGGATGGAAAATTACCTGGAGAAAATGGTGGCGAATGATCTTTTTAAGCGCGTAGATGCTTCCAGACGCCGAGGTCTTGGCTATCCCCCAGAATCAGAACAACCAATTCGTGACATTGATTTCAAATAAATTTCACGTCCCTGTCAGGAGTAAGTGGTTTTTAACCCTTTGGGGGCCTGCGACTCCTTTGAGACGGACAAAGCCAGAGCAATTTCCCGCTGGAAGATTCACCCTGGCGCTCACGTAATTGTGCATATTAACTCATTCAGATATTTAAGAAGCGCCTACTATGTGCCGGATACTTCCAGGCGCCAAGGATACAAGAATGTGAACTTGGCCAAATTTCTCCTCTCCTAGAGTCTTACCTGATAATCATTTTTGACCCTCCTTCGACCCCAGCCCAGCCGCAAATCCGACTACGATACAATGAATCATCGAATGTATCTGGGATTAAGATGATTAAGCTTTTGAAGGTACTCTTTCTTGGAGTTCTGCTTAAATACTAAAGCTCATCAAAATGCACAAGATACCCACCCTTTTCCGCCCTTTTAAAATCACCGTGGCTGGCAAATTTTTTAATTAGTCACAGACATTCGGCCACATCTGAAACTAGTGAGGTAGGTTCTTCTCCCACCAGGAGTGAAGGGATGCCCACCCCTCACCCGCCCCACGGCCTCCCGTCCTTCCCCTGAGGATTGGAAGTGCTGGCGGCACCCCCTCCCCGGCTTAACCAGCACCCCCAGGGAGCAACCCTAGGCTGGTTCCTCCGAGGATGCTCCGCGAAATTTCACTTCATAAACAAATTAATGACACCTTCGCCCACCCCCGCCCCAGGGACCCAATGCTCAAAAGTGCTGTAGCACCGTCCACTGGAAATAGATTCCAAGGCCACGATGTAATTTTCAATTTTTTCGTCGTCACAGTTTTGAAAGAAGGAACTGGGGAAATTCATCTCTGACACATCTTCTTTGACACAATATATCCCGACAACACTATATTTTCCGTGTGTAGCGAATGCGAAGGCATTAAGGTGCTTTACATTATTGTTATTATCCCGAGTCTTCAAACCCCAGCGCGCCTTGCACTCTCCCAGTGCATCCGCATCCAGACCAGCCACGTTTCCAGCGCTCATTAGCCGCCGGCGCTGGCGCTTCTCCTATTGGCCGCGGCCGGGCGGAGGCTACAAGCTGCGGGCTCATAGGGCAGACGCCCGGCCCTAATGCGGGCTCCGCTACCCGGGAGCGGTCGGCGCCTCCGAGTCCTTGGGGCAGCGCTCCAGGTCGCAGCGGCCGCCGACCCCGGGCCCCCCTCCCCACATGTCTGGGCTTTTCTATTTCCATGTGGTTGTGTTTTCACCATGAGGCCGGCTCCCCCTCACTTGAAGTCCTAGTGGTCATTGAAAAAAACAACAACAGTGTTTCCCTTTTTAAATTGAAATACAATCCACGTAGCATAAAATTCACCCTATTACAGTATAGCACCCAGTGGTCTAGTGTCTTCGCCGGGCTGTGCAGGCGTCCCCACCATCTAATTCTAGAACATTTCCCCCACTCCCAAAAGAAATTCTGTACCCAGGAGCAGTCACTGCCCTCTCCCCACTGCCCCTGGCTTCAGGCAGCCACCTATCTGGTCTCTGTCCCTCTGGGTGAACCTAGGACATGTCATCCAGGTGGGACCACTCGGTGTGTGACCTGGGTCTGGCTCCTCTCACTCAGGGACATGTTTCCAAGGTCCGTCCATGTTATAACCGGCTCTGTCTCTCTGGTACCTTCTCTCCAGTATCTGTGGGTGGACGATGCTCCACTGGAGACAGGGAGGGCGTCACCAGCGGACACACACACTGGGTTGTTTCCAGTTTCGGGCCATTATCAATATGGCTGCCGGAACACGTGTGTGCAAGCAAGTTTTTCTGCTTCCCATTCTTCCGGGGGTGTCCACCCAGGAATGGAATGGCTGAGTCTTCTGGTGATTCTACGTTTCACTTTTTGGGGAACCACCAAACTGCTTCCCATAGCCGCTGCCCCGTTGTAGCTCCGCCCACGAGCCCTGAGTGAGGGTTCCAGTGTCTCCTCATCTTCACCAACACATCCTATCATCTGACTTTTTTTTTTCAGGCATCCTAGTGGGTGTGGCCTAGTATTTCCTGGGTTTGACTTGCATTTTCCTAATGAGTGTGATGAGCATCTTTTCATGCATTTACTGGTCATTTGTATATATCCTTTGGAGGAACGTCTATTCCAATTTTTTGCCTATTTACAACACAATCAGGATACCGGCCCCTTCTCGGATATATAATTTGCAAATAGTCTCCCCCACTCTTTGGGTGGTCTTTTCATTTTCTTGATAGGGTACTTTGGCACACACGAGCTTTTTCAATTTTCATGAAATCCCATACTCCCATTTTTTTCCTTCGATGAGCTGTGCTTTGGGTGCCATGTCCAGCCCAAGGTCATGGTGATTTTCCCGTGTTCTGGTGGAGGAACGTTTGTGTTCTTCCATTTGGGTCTCCGGTCTGTTCCCTGTTCCTCTCTGTGTGTGGCTGTCCCGTCGTCGTCGGGCCCCCGTCTGTTGAAAAGACTGTCCTTTCTCCACGGAATGGTCCTGACAGCCGTGCTGAAAATTGGCTGATGATAAATAGGAGGGTCCGCTCCTGGACTCAGTTCCGGTCCATGGACCGGCCGGCCGATCTGCGTGCCTCTCCCCTTGCCGACACCTCGCTGCTTCGGCTGCTGTGGGTTTGGAGTAACACACTCACCATGAAGGAAGCGTGAGCGCCACAGTTTTGCTTTTCTCTCTCGAGATTCTTTTAGCTGTTCTGGGTCCCTTGCATTTCCACATGCGTTTTAGAATCCTGCTTGTTCATTTTTTTTTGTGTGTGTGCCATACAAAAGAAGGCAATTGGAATTTTAGCAGGCCTTGTATTAAATCTGTGTATCAATTTAGGGAGCACTGCTGTCTTCATTGAAATATTAAGTTTTCCAATCTGTGAACAAAGGATGTCTTTCCATTCAGGCAGGTATCTCTTCAAAAATGTTTGATAGTTTACAATATGCAAGTCTTGTACTTCTTTGGGTAAATTCTTTCTCAAGTATTTCATTATCTTTGATGCTGTTGTAAATGGAATTGTTTTCTTAATTTAATGTTTAGATTAAAAAAATATTTTATTTATTTTTAGACAGAGGGGAAGAGATGAAGAACAAGAGAAACATCAACATGTGGTTACTTCTCATGTGCCCCCAACTGGGGACCTGGCCCAGAACCCAGACATACGCCCTGACTGGGAATCGAACTGGTGACCCTGTAGTTCTCAGACTGGCACTCAATCCACTGAGCCACACCAGCCGGGGCTAATGTTTGGATTATTCGTTGCTGGTGCGTAGAAATACAACAGACTTTCCCATATTGTCTTGTATCCTGCAGCTTTCCTGAGCTTATTAGCTCTACTAGCTTGTGTGTGTGTGTGGGGGGGGGTGATTCTCCCTGGTTTTCTGTACGTAATAAGATCATGTAACGAGAGCGCTACTTTTTCCTTTCCAGATGGCATGTCTTCTGTTTCTCTCGGCTCATCGCCCTGACTAGACCCTGGAGGGCAGTGTTGGGGAGAGCGGGGGAGAGCAGGCACCCCGCCTTTGATCTTCGGAGGCAAGATTCTAGTGTTCCACCATTCGCATGATGTGCCCTGACCAGGAACTGAACCTGCGAACTTGCAGTTTATGAGACGATGCTCCAACCCACTGAGCCCCACTGGCCGGAGTCTAATGCATGGTTTTAGAATGATCTGGAATGGTTTCTTCTTAGGAACCATTTTAATGAGCATCTCCTGGAGGGGCCTGCCGGGGACCAGGGGGCAGAAGGCTCCGGGCCCAGGAGGGGAAGCGCTCAGTGCGGGGGAGCTTCGGGAAGCAGGGCGTTGAGGTCAGGACCTGCCACAAACCTCTCTTTAGGCCGCAGGTGACTGGCGTGGCCTCCCCGCACCTTAGCTCAATCTGTAGGGTTCGCCAGGCTGGATAGGATGGGGCTCTTAAGAATTCTTGGAACCTGAACGTCCCAAGGAGGCAGACAGACAACCCATGGGCCACTTTCTGTAATGAAATACGCCAACCCGGAAAGGCCTCCCCACGGTTTCCACCCCTGCACGTCACTCTGGGGGTGCTCCCGAGGCGGGTGCGCCGGCCCCAGGCAGTGAGAAGGGTGACTCACAGGGGTGTATATTGAACTTCTGCTTACGCAGGGTTTCCCGTGTATACATTCGCACGGCAGCACTCATGCCCTGCACACACAACTTCACCAAACAATGGCAAAGCTCTGTTCAAGATGCTGTGTCTTTAAATTGGAAATTGTGACTGTACCTTTGGACACCACTAACCTGAGAAACTAGTGAAGTCAGTGGCCTGACCCGTAAGCTTGACACCCGGACGTCCCGGGGCGGGGAGGGAAGTACCACGGTCTGTGAGCTCGGGATGGTGAAGCCACACTTCGCGCCGCCATGAGGCTGAGGTATGCGCACGAGTCTGCTACCCAACCTGTCCATTTTCAGCTACGTTTCTGCACATCAGTCCCTCGTTTTGACCAGGAGCCAGCAAAACTGTTCCTGTGAAATGATCGGGTAATACAGGTTCCAGGCTTCACGGGCCCTCCAGTCTCTCAGCTACTCAACTTCATCCTTCTGGGCAGCCTGGGACCGTGGCGACGAGGACGCACCCTGCCTGGGTTCCAATGAAACTGTATTTACGAGCGCTGAGATGTGAGT